TTCTCCTTCTTCTCCTTCTCCTTCTCCTTCTTCTCCTTCTCCTTCTTCTCCTTCTCCTTCTTCTCCTTCTTCTCCTTCTCCTCCCCCCCTCCTTTACTTCTCCTCTTTCACATCTTTTACTTTACATCTTCTTCTTCTCCTCCTTTACTACATCTCCTTCATTTTACCTTTATTTGTGGTAGTCGTTGCTGTGTTACTATTAGGGGCAACATTACGACTATGTTCAACGTTATCAAAACCCGATACAGAAACCATCAAACAAAAAAGAAAAACACGGAATACGCCTCATAGAACCACACTATACAGAAGCAAAACTTTTTAAACTTTTAAAGGAACTTTAAAGAAATTTAGGTTCAGTACCGAATTCGACCGATGATCGAATGAGACTGAGAAGTTTGAGAACTTGAAACTACTATGTAGTGACTCTCCTACTGAGATTTGAATTCAAAAAATAAAAATGTGAACTAGAGTGTCGGCTATACAATATGGATAACGTCAAGACTCTTAGCAAATGCAATAATAATAGCCGTAATTGTTACAACAGCTGAGTCTTGAGGCATATTCGAGGCAGGTGAGAAGTGGGTTGGGCTCTAGCTTAAGATTTGCCCGCTGTTTGTACAAAGCGCCTAATGCAAAATACGCCGCAATTCCTATGCAAATATTATGCATAACCAGCACCACCATCACCACCAAACATACCAACAGCCATCGGCACCCAACCACATGGTTAGCCCTTGGGGCGAGCACTTTACGGCCGGGCGACGGCACTTATCGCCGGTGCACGTCATTCCTGGCGAGGGCTTTATTATAACGGCTTTAACTTGAGGCGGTCGCTTTAGTGGGTCAACTTGATATTAATTACGAATGCCATGCAACAATAGCAACAACAGCTTAAGCTGCCGCACGTTGCACGTGTCATAAATCGTGCCCCGCCACTGTTAGCTATGCTCTGCAGCGCCCCTGATCAATATGTCGCTGATGCAACAACTGGATTAAAACTGCAACCAATTGTCTCGCTCTCTCGCTCTCTCTTTCGCTCTTTTTCGTTCGCTTCTAACTATTTCTGACTGCTTAATACTCGCCCGAGGTCAGTCACATCAAGCTATCAGTCAACGATAGAGCTCAGGTCAATAGCGGCTCAGTAGCTAAATGTGCTGAGCCTAGCTCTAGCTCAGCCTAGACAGAAGCCAATATACCCTTCTTTGCTGTGTAAACGTGTGTAAATATTAAAAAAAAAAATAAAAAGTGAAGAAGAAATAAATACGAAAAAGTTGCCTCTTTCGTTTTATTGGACACGTTTCTTTAATATGCCCTTTGCGTGCACAGCCGCAACAAGCTTGTGGCACTAGAGTGGTGGCAGGCGGCAGGCGGCAGGCAAGCAGGAGGCAGCCAGTTTTCTTTGGGTTTGGGGCAATGCCCTTTGACATGCAGACGCTTAAGCACTTTTAACACGTTAACGTGACCTCCATCCGCCTGTTTAACCCGACGTAATGAATAACCGTACTGCCCGTATTACACTTTGAGGCACTCGCTCCGCAATGCTGGGATCAATAAATGAGCCGGGCTCCAGCTCACGATTAGTCTTAACGATTTGCAACTGAGCAGCTCGCTTGGCTACTTAGGCACAAATATAAAGAAGCATATATATAATATATACGCATATTATTAACATGCTTCGCCGACATTATCATGCTCTGAGGCTATTCGTCAGTGTTTTCAGTCAATAAATTGCCGAAACCTGTCGGCAAATGAGAGTTTCGCACAGCATTTGATTATGCTACTTCTTGGTAAACAATTTAGTTACCTAGTTGCATACGAGGTGTGTTCGAAAAGTAGCGATTCGTTGTCGACTTATGCCGAGCTGTGTGACTCGTCCTCGCTTTTGGCCAATGCCAGAAGAGAGTTACGAGACCAGACCAGGACTGGCCGCCTGTGAAGGACATTGAACAGGATCACAAAAAGTGGATTTGTAGGCAGTGCTTCGAGAATGGGTAAAAACCTTGACATAAGGCTTACTTCGTGAGATAGACAGATCGATAGACCAATAAATCGCTAGGTAGATTAATTGATAGAGAGATAAGTAAATAAGTAATTCCTTTTACTTTGATTGACTAAATATGTAACATTCGTGTTTCAGCAGCTTCGAAAGTGTTTCCTTCTTTATTAAATTTTCTCAATATAGAAATCACCATTTGAACGATTTACCATATCGGCTATATTGAAATAACTTCAAAGATCACCAAATAGCTATTCTTGAATCACTAAATAATTTTTAGGAAAACAGAAAAATCGCAATACTTTCTAAACAGCCCTCGTGCCTCGTGTACGTGCTTGAAAATCTATGTGCCACAATAATCAAAGTTCGTTTGGCTTTGGGGAAATGTCAAAGAAAATCGTGCGGTAGCAACTAAATAATTCATTAAGTGAAAACTTCAATTGAATATTGTAAATTCCCTTAGCTGCCTGCCTTTCGCTTAATTATTCTTCTTCTTTTTCTTTTTTTTGAAGCCTGGAATAATTGTTGTAATTACTCAATAAAAATCAACTAATGTGGCCCACTCGCTACTCGCTCGCTCGCTGCCAGACGATTAGCCCCGTAATGTCTGCGTTCCTTTGTCGTTAAGCTTAATTATTAAATTGGGCCAAGTTCCGGGGGGTTGAAAGGAAGGGAAACGTCTTTGCTCTATGCGCACTTAAGGCTAATTAACTTGTCGGATATTCAATGACCAATTAAAGCGCTCCACGCTTTACTTTTTAACCCACACAATTTGCGTTGACTTCATTTCGAATTGAAGGTTTTGTTCACGTTTCCATTCTACTCATCAAATCTGAGTGCATTTATCGATATCTGTATGTTTGAAGCAAATTAATTTCATTTTTGTGCTTAATATATTTATTATAAATATTTGCGACCATTATCGGCGCGCTGCATGGGCCTCGTCTATATTATTTTATGATTTTCTTTTATGCCCAGAACCCATTAAATATGCAAATTTAGGGTATGATGGCTTTATGAAACTGTATGTAACAGCCAGAAGGAGGCGCGACAGAGCACAAGTATATACACTCCTGATCAAGGCAACGAGCTGAGTCGATCTAGGCATCTCTTCGTTTATTCTTGTAAAGCAAGTGCAGCTCGAATCTGTCTTTATTTATTATTATCGATACTTATCGATCAATGGTATTTAGTTAATTTGAAAATTTGATTTAAAAAGTCCAACTATAACCAGAGTTAGACAACAAAAAGCAATAGTAAGGGCCGAGTGTGAGTGTGTGGGTGTATGTGTGCATGTGTGTGTGTGGGTGTATGTGTGCATGTGTACATGTGTGTGTGTGTGTAAGTGTTATTTGTCAAGTCTGTGAAGCCAAATAGCAGCTCTTCTCAGTGTTCAAGGTATTTGCTAGTCGAGCACTCCCGACTAGAGCACGCTTAATTGTTTTTTTTTTGCACTGTGAAATGTATAACAGTTGTCTGCAGTTGCGCCGCAAGCCATACAATTTTCCTTCCATACACACACAGACACACACGCACACGCCGAGCACTTAATATCTTAATGTAAAATAAAAAAAGCAGGCGAAAAAAAGGTTTTATTGTAATTTTATGCACTTATTTACATAAGCGGAGTTAAAATGAATGCATCATATGAAATAATTACATTATTACTTCTGCTGCGATTCGAGTTGCGTAAGTGGCAACAACAACAACAACAACAACAACAACAGCCGCAGCAACAACTTGCAGCCTGACAATCGCCACAATAAAAAAACTGAAAAATGAAAATGAAAACGAAACAAAATAAAATGCAGAGAAAACATTTGCCAAGTATGCGACTCAATAAATAATTGACAACTGCTGGCGTTGCCGGAGTTTTTAATGTAATGGTGGGCGTGGCAGCGGCAGCTACGAATGAAATAAATTGACCTTGTGTCAAGTGAAAGTTGAATAGCACTGGAACAATTTGGAATTGGAATCATTTTTGTGGAAATTATGTGTGCATGCTGTGTTCCATTCCCGAATTCCAGTGGGAAATATTATTAATTTGCATGTTGTCTTATTGATTGAATATCAGATTTAGTATATATAATGTTTCATTCCAACATTTCAGTTAATTATAAGTGCAGAAATCTTTAGATATCTTGAGGAATTATGCAAATAGCATGTTCCATTCCAGCATTCCACTTGAAACACTTAGCTTATTATATTGCACAAACTTGTAGATTACTTGTGGAGTTATGGAAATAACATGTTCCATTCCATTATTCCACCAAGAAAAGTAGCTAAAAAAAATAATTGTAGAAATTTGTATCGCTTGAGTAAACAATCAATCAATATCGTGTTTCATTCCGAGTGGAAATGTTATTAATTATAATTGCAAGTAGCTAATTGTAATTATATTTAGCTGTTTTCGTGTTCCATTCCAGTATTCCGCCAGGAAATATAGCTAAAGTAAATACTCTAACATATATATTGGCATAAAAACCGTTCATAATCGATTAGCAAGCTGGAACGTTTGGGAAATGAAACAGCCATTGCGTGTGCCATTCCATATTTCTAGAGCAATAACTTAATTTGTATTTGTAATTTGTAAAATTAAATTCGACTTTAATGTTCGACTTATTGTGATTGGAATTTTGTGTATTTACCTAAGGAGCCAATGAGATTATGGCGTTGCCAGATGGTTCAAGTAATATTGTTATTATCCTTGGCTACTTTGAGTATGTCAATATTTAAGCTTTGCTTGTTTGTGGGCGCATATAGCGCACAGCACACAAATATTAGCACACACACGCACACACACTTGAGTATGCTTGCATGTTTCGCCACGTATTTACCATTGAGTTGAACACACACACACATACACACACACATACACACACACATAGACACACGCACACGCACAGACACTCAGCTGCGGCACCACGAAATTATCCACACCTCAACGCATGATTGCGTCTTAGTTTACCAAAATGCTCAACACTCGATCAACATCCATTCACAGCCTCAGCCCCAATAATGGAGCAGCCGCCGCAGAACGTAACCGCACTGGATGGCAAAGATGCAACCATCTCCTGTCGGGCCGTCGGCGCACCAAATCCAAACATCACCTGGATCTACAATGGTAAGTGGAGCAATGCTATACATGCTATATATACATATATATCTACATATGATTACATGTGAATGCACGTTTGAATTGTAGCCAAACGCTAATCTCGATGTCTATTCGTGTATTTTATTTTTATTTTCGTATGCTAACCCAACAAACTAAATTGCTAACTGTAAATGCAACTGTGCAACTGTGCAACCGTGCCGCAACAACTGCAACTGTAACTCATCCCGCTTGCTTTATCGGATTCCCGTTAATTTTAACAACATTAGAAACTCAATTGGTCGAGCTGTCGAGCCGCGTTCAAATACTCGAATCTGGCGATTTACTCATCTCAAATATACGCGCCGCCGACGCCGGCCTCTACATCTGTGTGCGCGCCAACGAGGCGGGCAGCGTCAAGGGCGAGGCATATCTGGGCGTATTGGGTAAGTAATCGAATATCGGCGCACAGCTACTCCACACAGACACAGCCGCCCCCATACCCGTCCCCCGTAAACTAATTGAGCGGTTGCCATCAATATTTTTGTGCTTGCCCAGCCAGCCAGCTGCTGGGTCAATGTGAAATTTGAACTTACGAATGATTTTATACTAAATATATACATATACATCGCACTGCCAGTTAACCGCTTACACTTGGCCAGTAACCCAGTAACCCGACGTAATGAGTGAACGCTGCACACATAAACCATATCAGTTTGCCAATTAAAAGCAGAGAGAGAGCTCGCAATATACAGAAATTGCGAAGGTATTGCTGCTCTGATATTGCAATGAATGGGCATATAACTGATATGGCCTGAATGATTGCATATAGCATGCCATAACATAGATTGATTACAGATAGGAGCTAAGTTGCACGGCGGAACTGTTAGGAAAAGCGTGAACTGTGTGAGCACATGAAAAGTATTGCAATTCTAATAGGAATTGAGGAGTAAAGTGAGCCAATTGGAGCTAGTTTTAGCTGAATGAATATATTGTTGTGCAAGTAGGAAGAGCATGAAATGTATTTTAATTATAATAAGAATGGTCGGACATAGAATTAGGCATAAGGAAAGGCCAAAACTTTTTGAACACATGAATAAAATATTTAATAAGAATATGAAGAAAAAATAATTGGAATGCCAATTGGAATGTCCGAGCAAGGAGAATAAATTAGAGCGAGTTTCAGGCTTCTAATGAAAGATATTGAACTGCCAATAAAAATAAATAAAATAAAATAAAAATATTTTGTGAAATATTGAGTACTAAAAAAAATGCAATTCAAACAACAAAATGCTTAAACTGTGTTCTAACACTAATTAGAATGAACGAGCATAGAAAGGGGAATAAGGAAGACATGAATATGAAAAATAATTAAAAATATCTAGCATTGAGTGACAAATAAGAAATGCTTGAATAAGCAAACAAAAGATATTGAAATTCTATTTAAATTAATTTGGCATAGATACAATTGAGGCAAGTTTGAGCCTATAACAAATATATTGAGAAATAATTAATAAAATCTTGAACTGTTTGAGCATATGAATTGAATGAATTGAACTGTATAAATTAAAGAGATTTTCCTATTCACAGACTCATCTCATATATAGCAGCAATAAGCAACAAAATGAACTAAATTTCCAATTGGAGTAAAGCTTTAACTTTGTATAAGAGATATATCGATTCTAATAAGAATGCTCAAACATTAGCAATCAAAAAAGGCACGCAAGAGAGCGCATATATCGAGCATTATATAGCATATATAAGTTAGCTATATATAGAAAGCACATATTGTGATCCAATTCAATCGTTTCATACTAAAGTTGATAAATTTGTAGTTCAGATTATTACGCTAAATGCATGTAGAAATGTATTTAAGCTTGTTGCATGTTTGCTTTATGCTTTCAACACACACACACACAGACACAGCGAGCGACCACAACGGTGGAAAGAGTTAATAATATTAGTGCCCAGGAGCTGCCACGATTACAAATTGTCAGCGATGCAGCATGCGGCAAAGCGTGGCAGCAACAACCATAAAGGTCAACAAGACTATGCCACAAGCAGCTGCAAGGGTCGAGGGTCAAATCAGCTAAAGCTCTATTGGCACCAACACATAATGCATTATATTGTCATCAAAGCCGCAGCCGCAGCCGCAGCCACAGCCACAGCCAGAGCCAGAGCCAGAGCCACGGCGACAGCAACAGCAGCAATGGCCATGGCAATATCAAACAGCTATGACAACAATAATAATTGAGTTTTTTAGCGCATTGTTTTATTTGGAATGCAATAAAGCAGTCCGCAAGCCTAGCTTTTAGCTGCAGCTTGAACGACTCTCTAAAAGGCCACATCAATGTCTGCTAATTGGCAAAGCGGTGCAGCGGTGCAGCGGTGCAGCGATGTTGCACTGTGCACAGAGCAAAGCGAGCATATGCATGCGCTTGCCAAGATTTGAAATGAATATATAGCATATATATACTCGCCTGGCAGTAGAGCATGGCGACAGTCGGCAACAGCCGAGCAGCGCAACATTCTTGTTAGTTTTGGAATTTTGTTTTGCATGAAACGCATGGCGTATGAGTACGGTAATCAAAAAAATCTATATATATATATATATATATATATATATATATCCGTGTGTGTGTGTGTGCTGTATGCAAACGAGGCAACGGCATTCACTAACAACAAAAAGGTCGTCATGGCCAGAAAGAAACGCAGCCAGAAAAAAGGGCCCGAACGGACTCAGCTCAAAGTCTGGTCGAGCGCGTTGAACTTTTGATGCATGATGCGGCCAAGTGACTGAAAAGGCAGGCGAAAAACGTATACATATATATATGTATGCATGAATGCCTATATATATATATATATATATATGTGTGTGTATATATATTTGCTTATGTAAAGCCTTAAAGCTTTAATTCCTATGTTTTTTATGTAGCTCAGCTGTTGGCAACGAGGAATGTTTATCTGTCTCGCAGTTAAATGACATTTTACTGACTCACTCTCTCTCTCTCCCTCTCTCTCTTTATTCGCATCTCTTTCTTTCACTTTAGTGCGAACACAAATCATTCAACCGCCGGTGGACACGACCGTGCTGCTTGGCCTAACCGCAACGCTGCAGTGCAAGGTGTCGAGCGATCCGAGCGTGCCATACAACATCGACTGGTATCGCGAGGGCCAATCGGCGCCCATCAGCAATTCGCAGCGTATTGGCGTGCAGGCGGATGGCCAGCTGGAGATACAGGCGGTGCGGGCCAGCGATGTGGGCAGCTATGCGTGTGTGGTGACATCGCCCGGCGGCAACGAGACGCGCTCGGCGCGTCTCAGCGTCATCGAGCTGCCATTCCCGCCCAGCAATGTGAAGGTGGCGCGTCTGGCCGAGCCGCAGCAGCGCAGCATCAATGTGTCCTGGACGCCCGGCTTCGATGGCAACAGTCCAATAGCCAAATTTATTATACAGCGTCGCGAGGTCTCCGAATTGGGTAAGTGTCTCTCAGCGTAGGTGGGCTATGCCATTACACATCTTCTGTCTGGGTTAGCGTTATGTCTGTATGTATGTAGTTGTTGCTAAGGTTATGGATCTTTTGTGGTATTGGAATTTGATTTATCAAACACACACACAGACACACACAGACACACTCACACACTCACACACACGCACACTGAGAAGCAGACAAACAGGCAGACAGCAGCTGCAGACTGACTGCTCTCGTTCAGTTTCAGTTCGAGCAGCTGATTTGGGCCCTGGGGTCGTGTGTGTAATTAGAGAACATGTAAATCACATCAGTAAAACAACAAATATAGCAACAACAAAAGCAAAAACAATGGAAAAAACAACATATTCAATTCAATTAACTTTTCGATTCTGTTTTCGAATGGCCGTCAACATGTGTCAGGTCTTACTGTATAAAGCTACTTATTATTATTTTGTTGTTTTACAATATGCTACATATTTTCGTTTCAATTTACAAAAGTTGAAGTGGTTGCCAATGCTTCAAATTGAAGCTTGTTTGAACAATCCGATTTGTCCGCCCTGAAAAGTAGGCAACAGTTTTATGTGTTTGCATATAAAAAGTGTTGCCTGCTTTTCAGGGCAACTAAAGTCAGTTCGTGTGCAGCTTAGTTCATGTTAAGTCCTAGACAGAAATGGCTGTAGGCCGTACAAATTATGGTTCATTATTAAATTGATATATTTTTTGTACTCTCTTTTTTCTTCTATTTGAAATTTTCGTATACTTTTCTCTGACAAAACATGCGCCGTGTGACGTAACGAAATAATTAACATCTATACCTATTTATACAAATATTAAATATATATATTATTAATATTTATACCTAATTCATGTATATTTTTATATTTATTTTTTGTTAATTTGCTAATTTTAATTTTTATTTTTATTTACTTATTTCGCACATTAATTCGCACATAAACGCATACACACAACAATCGCACTTGAACACCAAACTAAATTTACGTTAATCAACACACACACACACACTCATCACTCATCACTCATCACTCATTGCTCATCACTCATCACTCACGTATTGTTCAACACTCATCATGCTCAACTTATGCTCCTCGCTCTCTTTCCCATCTCACACACTCGCTCGCACGTTCGCCTTTCCGCTCTATTTCTCTCTTTCTCTCTCACTCCCACTCTTTCGCTATCCTTTCATAATGACGTTTTTCAACACATTAACATCACAGAAAAATTCGTAGGTCCCGTACCAGATCCGCTGCTCAATTGGATCACCGAACTGAGCAACGTTTCGGCCGATCAACGCTGGATTTTGCTGGAGAATCTGAAGGCCGCCACCGTCTATCAGTTTCGTGTGAGCGCCGTCAATCGCGTCGGCGAGGGCTCCCCATCTGAGCCAAGTAACATCGTCGAGCTGCCCCAAGAAGGTAAGTGCTCAAATTGCTGCTTCCTTTTTGACCTGAACTATGTCCTTTATTGTTTGTTGCTTTGACTTTATTCTCTTCTGTTGCCCCCCCAAGTCCTGTAGCTCCTATTTGAATCAATCCTCAGAATTGGCATTTAGTTATTATTTTATAATCATAGACTTTACTTTAACTCGAAGATATTCCTAGCAAATATCTCTTCACGTGTTTATTTAACTCCAAACTCCATTTGATTTGCTTATCCTTTTGGCATTCCTCATCCCAGTTGTGTTTCGTTTGTTGACGAGTCTCGAGAGCAACCGTCGTAGGGTTGCCGAGTGCACTCGCTGTTATATATATATTTAAAAATATATATATTTGTACTGTAATCGTATTTAGTGGCTAGAACTAATGCTATATAACCATATGTATGTATTGTACTTCTAACTGCTATCGTTGTCGTCAAACTGCATCGTCGTGATCGCCCGCTTTTGATGAATAAATGCGCATAGAGTTTCCACTGTACCGAGGTATATAAAAACCAAAAAGAGACCTCTCTCTCTCTCGCTGTTTAACACTGACACAAGTAACAACGTACATAAGTGCACAACACCCGATTGATCGATTTATATCGATTACTTTTAATAACATTATGAATTCTCTTTAAATGTTCCCAGCGCCCTCGGGTCCACCCGTTGGCTTCGTCGGCTCTGCCAGATCGATGTCGGAAATCATAACGCAGTGGCAGCCGCCGCTAGAGGAGCATCGCAACGGCCAGATACTGGGCTATATACTGCGCTATCGTCTCTACGGGTACAGCAATGTGCCGTGGTCCTATCAGAACATTACGAACGAGGCGCAGCGCAATTTCCTCATACAGGAGCTGATCACATGGAAGGACTATATTGTTCAGATCGCTGCGTACAATAATATGGGCGTGGGCGTCTACACCGAGGGCTCCAAGATCAAGACCAAGGAGGGCGTACCCGAGGCACCGCCCACAAATCTGCGCGTGCTGGCGCTGAACTCGACGGCTGCACAGATTAGCTGGACGCCACCGAACCCGCAGCAGATCAACGGCATCAATCAGGGCTACAAGATCCAGGCATGGCAACAGCATATCATTGAAGGCGAGCCCCAGGACCTCGAGAAGCGCATGATAACCGTGCCGCCCAGCCTGATCGATCCCCTGGCCGAGCAGACGGCCACGCTCAATGGCTTGGACAAGTACGCCAAATATAACATCACCGTGCTGTGCTTCACCGATCCCGGCGATGGCGTCATCAGCCAGAAGGTGTCCGTCATGACCAAAGAGGATGTGCCCGATGAGATAACTGCCCTGCACTTCGATGATGTCTCCGATCGTGCCGTAACCGTCCTTTGGGCACCACCCCGCCACGCCAACGGCCTGCTCACGGGCTACACGGTGCGCTATCAGATGCGCGATCGTCCCGAGACCATGAAGTCCATCAACCTAACTGCCGAGGATACACAGCTCACGGTCAACCAGCTGCAGGCGACCACGCACTACTGGTTCGAGATCTGCGCCTGGACACGCATTGGCAGCGGCACACCCAAGACGGCGACCATACAGTCGGGCGTGGAGCCCGTGCTGCCGCATGCCCCGACCAGCCTGGCGCTGTCCAACATTGAGGCGTTCTCCGTGGTGCTGCAGTTTACGCCCGGCTTCGATGGCAACTCGAGCATCACCAAATGGAAAGTGGAGGCCCAAACGGCACGCAACATGACCTGGTTCACCATATGCGAGATCAGTGATCCCGATGCGGAGACTCTCACCGTCACCGGCCTGATGCCCTTCACCCAGTACCGCTTGCGTCTGAGCGCCACCAATGTGGTGGGCAGCTCGCGTCCCTCGGAGCCCACCAAGGACTTCCAGACCATACAGGCCCGCCCCATGCACGCACCCTACAACGTCACCGTACGTGCGATGAGCGCACAGCAGCTACGCGTGCGCTGGATACCGCTGCAGCAGACCGAGTGGTTTGGCAATCCGCGTGGCTACAACATCACCTACCGCCAGGTGGAGCGCAAGGCGGGCACTATTAAGAATCCGCCGCGCAGCACGCTCATCGAAGACCACACGGCCAATTCGCATGTGCTCGATGCTCTCGAGGAATGGACACTGTACGAGGTGCTGATCAATGCCTGCAACGATGTTGGCTGCTCGCGCGCCAGCAATGCCGCTGAGGAGCGCACGCGTGAGGCGACGCCCAGTTACGGTCCGTTAGAGGTCGAAGCGAATGCCACTTCGTCAACCACCGTGGTGGTGCGCTGGGGCGAGGTGCCGCGCCAACATCGCAATGGTCAAATTGAGGGCTACAAGGTCTTCTACGCCGCCACAGATCGCATCATCAGCGTTCCGGTGCTCCACAAGACCATACCGAACAACAGTTCGTTCACCACGACCCTCACGGAGCTGAAGAAATATGTGGTCTATCACGTGCAAGTGCTGGCCTACACACGGCTGGGCGATGGTGCGCTGAGCACGCCTCCGATACGAGTCCAGACCTTTGAGGATACGCCCGGAGCACCGTCGAATGTCAGCTTTCCGGATGTCACTTTCTCAATGGCTCGCATCATTTGGGATGTGCCCGATGATCCGAATGGTGAGATACTCGCCTACCAGGTCACCTATACTCTGAATGGCAGCGCCAATCTGAACTATAGCCGCGAGTTCCCGCCCTCGGATCGCACCTTCCGCGCCACCCAGCTGCTGTCCGAGCGCTACTACAGCTTCAGTGTGACCGCCCAGACGCGCCTTGGCTGGGGCAAGACAGCCTCCGTGCTGGTGTACACCACCAACAATAGGGATCGTCCGCAGGCGCCGTCGGTGCCGCAGGTTTCACGCAGCCAGATTCAGGCTCATCAGATCACCTTCAGCTGGACACCGGGCAGAGATGGCTTCGCACCGCTGCGCTACTACACGGTGCAGATGCGCGAGAATGAGGGACCATGGCAGCCGCTGCCGGAGCGCGTCGATCCGTTGCTCAGCTCGTACACGGCTCTTGGCTTGAAGGCGCACACCACTTACCAGTTCCGGATTCAGGCAACCAACGATCTGGGCCCCTCGGCGTTCAGTCGCGAAAGCATTGTGGTGCGCACGCTGCCCGCCGCCCCGGCCATTGGAGTCGGCGGCTTGAAGGTGGTGCCCATTACGACGACCTCGGTGCGCGTGCACTGGGGCGCGCTGGAGACGGGCATGTGGAACGGCGATGCAGCCACTGGCGGCTATCGCATACTGTATCAACAGCTCTCCGACTTCCCCACTGCCCTGCAGTCTACCCCCAAAACGGATGTCATGGGCATCAATGTGAACAGCGTGGTGCTATCCGACCTGACCCAGGATCGCAATTATGAAATCGTCGTGTTGCCGTTCAACTCGCAGGGACCGGGTCCGGCTACCCCGCCGGCTGCCGTTTATGTCGGCGAGGCGGTGCCCACTGGAGAGCCACGTGCCGTGGATGCAGCCTCCATATCCAGCACCGAGGTGCGTCTGCGCTGGAAGCCACCAAAGCAGAGCATGCAAAATGGCGACATCTTGGGCTACAAGATCTTCTACCTGGTCACATATTCGCCGCAGGCGCTCGAGCCCGGCCGCAAGTGGGAGGAGGAGATCGAAGTTGTCTCTGCCACGGCCACATCGCACAGTCTCGTCTTTCTGGACAAATACACCGAGTATCGCATCCAGCTGCTGGCCTTCAATCCCGCCGGCGATGGACCACGTTCCGCTCCCGTCACGGTCAAGACGCTGCAGGGTGTGCCCAGCGCACCGCTCAACTTGCGCTTCTCCGACATCACCATGCAGAGCCTGGAGGTTACCTGGGATCCGCCCAAGTTTCTCAATGGCGAAATACTTGGCTATCTGGTCACCTACGAGACCACCGAGGAGAACGAGAGTAAGCTACAAGTGAGCAAAGTCGAGCTCAGCTCGCTCACCTCATCCATCTCGTTCACAGAGTTCAGCAAGCAGGTGAAGCAGAAGGTGTCGAACACAACGCTACGAGTCCAGAATCTGGAGGAGGAGGTCACCTATACGTTCACTGTGCGCGCCCAGACGATTGATTACGGCCCAGCGGTCAGCGAGAATGTGACCACCGGACCACAGGATGGCTCGCCCGTGGCACCACGCGATCTCATACTGAGCAAGACGCTGTCCAGCGTCGAAATGCACTGGATCAATGGACCGTCCGGTCGCGGACCCATACTTGGCTACCTCATCGAGGCCAAGAAACGTGGTAAGTCGCACAGGCCACCCAAATTACGTAATACTTACATGGTTCTGGTTCCCTCTCGCTCTTCACTTTAACTCTTTTGATTTCTATTTTGCAATAATCTTTGGTGAACTGTTTCGCAACAAAACTATCTTAAACCACATTTCCCAATACGCTTGCGTAGAGAAAGGAGAGCCGTCGTTTATATGTAAGTATCACAGACCCAATCCCCCGAGACCCCTCTGCTTCCTTCGATCACCAAAATTTAACAACATAGAGCCTAGATAGTATCACGCAATTGACGAACTTGTCTAAATGTTAGTTTCTCAACTCGCAGACGATTCGCGCTGGACGAAGATTGAGCAGACTAAGAAGGGTACCATGCAAGACTTTACCGTCAGCTATCATATCCTAATGCCATCGACAGCTTATACATTCCGGGTGATTGCCTATAACCGCTATGGCATATCGTTTCCGGCCTACTCCAAGGACTCGATACTGACACCGTCGAAACTGCATCTGGAGTATGGTTATTTGCAGCACAAGCCCTTCTATAGGCAGACTTGGTTCATGGTCTCGCTGGCGGCCACATCGATAGTCATTATAGTGATGGTCATTGCCGTGCTCTGCGTGAAGAGCAAGAGCTACAAGTACAAACGTAAGTGAAACGAACTAAGCCCCAAAATCTCATGCACTCTGATTAACTGGAGTCTTTGCTGCGGCGCAGAGGAGGCACAGAAGACACTGGAGGAGTCCATGGCCATGTCGATTGATGAGCGCCAGGAGCTGGCACTGGAGCTATATCGTTCGCGTCACGGCGTCGGCACTGGCACACTGAACAGCGTTGGCACACTGCGCAGCGGCACCTTGGGCACTCTCGGCCGCAAGTCGACCAATCGGCCACCGACCAGTGCTCAGTTGGGCAAAAGTCCACCCAGACCATCGCCCGCCTCGGTGGCCTATCATAGTGACGAGGAGAGTCTGAAGTGCTACGATGAGAATCCCGATGACAGCAGCGTAACCGAGAAGCCATCCGAAGTGAGCAGCTCTGAGGCCTCGCAGGTAAGTGCTCAAATAGAGAGTTTCATCAGTCATCGAATGTTAATCCGACGTTCGTTTTGCAGCATTCGGAGAGCGAGAATGAGAGCGTGCGCAGCGATCCGCACTCGTTTGTCAATCATTATGCCAACGTCAATGACTCACTGCGACAATCGTGGAAGAAGACCAAGCCGGTGCGCAACTATTCCAGCTATACTGACTCCGAGCCAGAGGGCAGCGCCGTGATGAGCCTCAACGGCGGCCAGATCATTGTCAACAACATGGCCCGATCGCGGGCTCCACTGCCCGGCTTCTCGTCATTTGTCTGACAATCAACTGAGTTCTAAGATCTAAGCAACAGCAGCAGCAACACCGTCATCCGGGAGACTTTTGTTTAATCATGCCCAAGGAGACGCACGGACAACGCAAATAGCTCAGATTGCCGCCATCAAGCAAGGAGCCAACAAATCGTCCTTGGCTGTCTGTGCGCGTGTGTGTGACGTGTGTGACGTGTGTCTAGCTGTTGCTTGTGCTACATGGACAATTCGTTGTAGTTATATTTTTATCTATATACTATATACGTATAATTTTAGTTTCTAGTACGAGAGATCTGAGATTTTTACAAGCATTTAGTTTTACAACAATGTTCCACTGACCCAGGCCCATTTAAGTTTAATATTGACCCATTTTTCTTTTTTAACTTTATTTTTGTTTTTAATTTGTTAGTTAACTTATTTGTTAGCTGTGCGTCCGTTGTCTGCCACGCCTACCGAACGAGAACAAAAATTATTTGTGATACTTAAGTTTTTTGCTCGGTTTCGTTTTGTTTTTAATTTTTTATTTTATTTTTTTTTTCTGGTGACATTTTCGATGTGTTCAATGCATGAATGATGTGAATGATTGTGAATGACAAAGGCCCTCTTAAAGCCTGGCGTAATCTCATTAATTTTTAATATTAAACTATTTTACAAACGACGGAAAATACAACAAAAAAAAAAAGAACAAAATATCGACGAGCTCGCGAAGAAGAGGAGTAAGAGGAAGCAGAAGAGGTAAAATTATTTATTCGCTAATTTTTCTCTGTCTGGTCGTTGCCTTCGCCTGTAGCGCGTAAAGTGAGGGTATTCGGCAGGCGGAACTGCAACTGATGCAATCAGTTAGAAGAGAAGAGAAAGGCAAGAGAAACAAAAACACAAACACAAAAACAAACACAAAACAACACGAAAACGAAAACATATAAAATAATCGCAGCGTAAAGCAAAGAAATTGAACAAACAAAGAAAGAAAAAAAAAAACAAAAAAAAAAAGAAATTATAGCATATCCAAGAATATAAAATGTCAGTTTTTTTTTTTTTTTTTTGGTGTGTAGACGCTTTACATGTATTTGAAATATCAATAGGTGTATATGTGTGTGTTCCGAGACATCAAATATAAATACTTATAGGCCATATTAATGCAGTTTGTAGCACGTAAGTTGCAAATGCAACAAAAAAAAAAAACGAAGAAGAAGAAGAAGACGAGAAAGGCACAAGAGAACCCCAGACAGAAGAGAAGAAGAAGAAAAAGTAGTAGAAGAGCGATCAGTAGAAGAAGATGAAAAAGAAGAATTAAAAGAGCTATCAAAAGAATAAGAAGAGCGATCTGTAGCAGATGGATCACTAGTAGAAGAAGAAGAGGGAGAAGAGCGATCAGTAATGGAAGATGTTGAAGAAGAAGTAATAAAAGAGCGATCAGAGTAGATGATCAGTAAGAGAAGAAGAATTAGAAGAGTGATCAGTAGAAGAAGAAGAGGAGACAGAAGAGCGATCACTAGTAGGAGAAAGAAAAGAAGAAGCAGCAGCAAATTTCCCACAACACCTCCCCAAAACATTTTCTCCACTCACGAACGACAATTGCAATTGTCTAGAGCTGGACAGCACGAGATCAATGTGTTTCTATATAGATGTATATGCCATCTGTATACGATGCGGGTAAGGGAAGAGCTGGTATTATCTATATATCCCGTATATATGTGTGTGTGCGCGCGCAAAACTAAGCATAGGTAATGAAATCTAGATTGTAACGTTTTAATTGTTAAACTCAAGAAGCAGAATTCAATTTGTATATGTCGTAAGCAACAACAATTTATATATATATATATATATCTATATATATACATGATCTATATGTATTTGTATATGTACATCTATAACTTAAATGACTGATTATATATTTTTCTCTTGATTGTATTCGACTTTCTACATACATAGATACATACATATATACATATATGTATATATGTATATGTATATGCATGTGTATAAACATTTATTATATGTAAAAGAAAGAGAACTACGATTATTGTAATATTATTATTATTATTATTATTATTAACTTAATATTAATATTATTTTTTTTTTTGACTTTTATAATGTGTATACTTTAGATCCATGTGGACTTAATTTCTTACGAATATGTTTATTAATTATGTAATACGAACGCCTGCTTTTATTTTTTAAGGACTTTGCTTATACTCCTAAGACTCGATGCACAATTTCATCTAGATATGTATGTAATTCTAATTGTTAATTGGTCAGCAACTGAAAACAGAAAACAGAAACAAATATGAAATCGAAAATTATTCAATTAACTACGCGTACTAAATGTTGTACTCAATATACGTACGCATTAAGGCATTGGACCGATCGGAAGCAGATCGCATTTGGGAGTCGCAGTCAGTGCGGTGCGAAAGCGCAAAGCGAGTAGCAAGCAGCAAGAAGTTGGCAGCGAGAAGCTGAAGGAGTTAGTGGAAATCGCGCAGCAAGCGCTAAGTATTAGCCCATATTTATGTGTAAATGTAATTGACGAATCATTTGATCCAATAAAAAGCAAAACATAAGTGTAAAAAAAAATAAAAATCTAAACAAATTGACTTTTCCTTAAGGCAAATTTGTTCCTTGCAAATTTCAATGACTTTAACCTGATGACATAAGGTCGGAGCTACGATTTGTGGCTTCCACTCCTTCACATATAAATTCGAAAATTCTTTCGCTCATTTCCTCAATCAACCATTTTTGAGACCGTGTCCCGTCCTTGAAGCAAATGCTTCGAGCTCGTTGACAACTCTCGATTGGGATATAAACTTTTAGATAGCTTTAATACGTCAACTCTGAAAAAGTAAACCTATTTTTAGTATCGGTATCCAGTTAATCAGGTTTAAAAGTGTTTCTCTATACTCAGCTTTGCTTATATATTATAAGTTTTTCCAATAGTAAATATATAAATTGAAGGCATAAATGTATATAAGTCTAGAAATATGTTCTTGAGTGCGATTCAAAGCGTTTCGGCAACTCTTTTGTACACCTCTTCGAGCAGTCATTTGGTTGCCATTGACTAATGATGACGTCGGAAAGTTCTTCACAATTAACTCGTTAACACCTAAAAGATAAAGCATTTGATGCGTCATTTTTCGAACCACTTAAGACTTGCACGTCGTCGCCGTCAAGGTTAACAAACTCGTCTCCTTCGGCATTCAGATCAGCTTTGAGGCTGCTGCATGAAGTCGGCAGTGCCTGACTAGAAGATACCCTGAACGCGGCGCAGAGCAGACTCCACAAGAGGGAGTAACTGAGGGACTCGAAGGAATACACATTTGAGATGTTTCGAGTTAATGTTAGTTAGTCCAAGAGCAGCCAATTAATTAGTGGACTGCTCTACTCTGCGCTTCTCATAAATTCAAGTTAAATTCAAACACTCGGCCAGCTGCAATTTATTTAGTGATATTTTATTATGGACAAAAAAAAAATGAGAAGAAGCGAAAAGGATTTAGTTCAGTGGGGAAAATGCCAAACTGTCATTGGAACTGGCCACCCAAGAGAGTTGTACAAATCAGTCTAGGCGTTGCTAATACTATGCTGGGCGTGGGCGGGGCATGGCTAGACCAGACTGTTGGACTCAACGGTGCTGGGCGTGGTGTGCTGCGGCTCGAGTGCCACTTTTGTGGTAAGCGCAACGGCTGCCTCATCCGCCTCTGCTGACGCATCAGCTTCCTCGTCCTCCTCCTCCTCCACTAACTCTTCGTCCAAGTCAGCTTCCCGGTTGTCAATGTGGCGCGCCTGTAAAGCGACAATATTGCGTTCCGCGGACATAACATCTGCGGCTCCAAGTGGCGCCGCGACAGGAACGCTGCTGATGGACACACCCGTTGGCCGATCCCGATCGGAGCTGGTGGCGCTGTTCAGGCCCAGCCCCGACAGGCCGGACATGCTGGACAAGCTGGACATGCTTGGCATGCTGACGGGACACATGCAAGGCACGAACTGGATGCGGTTGCCGCCCTTCTCCGGGAGCGCGTTCTGCGGCTGGTAGTTAAAGTAATCCGGATACGGATATTGCGGACGCGCATTATACAAATTGTTCACGCGACGGCTGTAGGTCGGATACTCCGCATTGTAGGCAGCGTAGCGCAGCGAGGATGGTGCCTCGGTGCTGCTGCTGCTGCTGGGCGGCGGTGCGCTCGTTGTGCGGCTGGTGGTTGTTGTGGTTGTTGTTGTTGTCGTCGGTGCCGGCGTCGTTGTTGTCGTCGTCGTCGTTGTAGTAGGCGCCGGCGTTGTGCTGGGCACTTGGCTACTGGCAGTAACCAGAGCGGGTGGCGTTACGTCCGCCTTGAAGCCAGCGGCAGCAGCAGCAACGTCATGGCGTCGGGCAGCCGCGTAGCCGGTCACCTGGGCATAGGGGTCGTAGTGTCGCCCCGACAGCAGCGGTGTCTGTGCCGCGCCAAAGCCAAACAAAGGCACCCCAAACGCACCGCCTGTCAGCGGCTGATAGGTGTAGGTGCGAAAGTAGGTGAGTGGTATCTGCTGCAGCACCTGACTGCGCGGTGTTTCGCTGTGAAAAGAAGCAAGTCATTCATTATCAACTAGCTGCACGGTCCCCAGCGTCCAACTGACTTACGTTGTTGTCTTGGGCCACCAGAAGCCGCTCGCGGGCAAAGGCAGCGCACAGAAACCGACGATGAGCTGCAAAGCATAAGGAAAATCATAGCTATTATGTCTTCTATGGATTATTTGCAATTACTTAATATATATAAACATAATTTTGTTATTATATAACTGCAAGTGCTTAGAGCTTCGTCTAGAATATGTTACTATTTCTTAGGAAACCCAGTTAAACAATTGACGTGATCAATGGATTCTATCGATCAGACAAATCAAATATATTTTTAAATAAAGCTTAAATTATTTTTCAAATGATGTAATAAATTAATAAATTATGCAATAAACCCTGAAATCTACAAAGTTTTCGTTTATTTTTTGCATTATTCTTATTATTAACTATTATTATTAATATTTATATTATTATTTTTATATATTATGTTGTATTTTTTTATTATTATTTTTTTAACAACTATTTAAGCAATCTAAAATATATTATATTATTAATATATATATGTATAAATATATTTATTAAAAAAATATGATTTCATATTTTTTTATTGAAATAAATTTGATAAAAAATTTATAAAAGAAATGTTTACAGTTCACATTTAACAAAATTTATTTTATACAATTATTATTTTTTTTTAATTACAAAAATATTTGAAGGCTTATTCTTGTTTTTTTTTCTTAATTTTATTATATTATTATATAATTTTTGAATAAAATTTTTTTTAATATGTTAAATGTCTTAATATTTTATATTAAAATTATCAATGAGAATGTTTTTAATTTGTGATATATACATTTTACTTAATTTGATATATATAGAAATCAAATTCTTTTACTTTTTATATAAATTTTGATTTGTATTATTATTAATGCTTTTAATTTGTATTTGATTTTGTTATATAGTATAATTATTTTTTATTTTTAAATATTTTGTATACTGTTATTCAAACTTTTTTCTAGTTATATTTTAGTTTTATTTTATATTATTTTATGAATTTTGAAATTGTATAATATATTTATAAATATTATTTTTTTTTTAATATTTTTCTTATTATAAATTATTATTTAAATTTTTTAAGGATTTTGCTGATGAATAACTTTTCTTCACATACCACAAAATATTGCCACATTTCGATGGGTTTTTTAAGCAATTAACGCGAGTATCGAATATTTATTAGTGTGTTTCCTGTCTGATAATCCTGCACAGGCTGACGATAACACAAAACACCATAAAAAAAAGTGAATAGAATGGAAGTGAAGCGCGAGAGAGTTCGTACGCGTGCGCAGCTGCATTTGCTCTAAACCCAAAGACAGTTGGCGGCCGAGCTTTTATATCATGGGCCGAAACGAGGCTTGGGCTACTCGCTGCTGCTGCTGCTGCTGCTGCTGCATCCATTTCCATTTCCATTTCCATCTCCATTTCCATTTCCATCTTCAATTCCACATTTCCCCACATTTCCAGCTGCCCTCGAGCTGTGAGCGCCGAGGCATGAAGCGGACGGGCACACGGCGCGCGTCTTGTTGCCGTTTGCCTTTTGTTTTTGTGGCACGTTGGCTGGTGGCGAGCTAGAAGCGGCTGCAGCACTGAACAGCGCGAGAAAATTAATTGCAGGCTTGGAAAGAACTGAAAAGTCGTACAAGAGAGCGAAAAATAAGTTGGGAAATCAATAATAATAATGAACGTGTCTGGCCGTGCCGTAAGAATAGAAAGCCCCATCATTGACAAAATGATTGAATGAATGACGTCGGCCCAAGGAGGGGGGCGAGGCTGCTGTTGCCTCTTGCTGTCAGAAAGGGCCACAAGCCATTGAATTAGCCATAAATATTTGTAGATGACTATTTTCTCGGTTTTATTTGTATTTCGATTTTCTGTTCATTTTGTTGTTGTTTCTTTTTATTTCTTTATTTTTCAGCTTTTCACACATCGAAATTTGATTTTCTTTTGATTCTGGAATTTGGGTCACACAACATTTTCCTCGTCACTTGGATGAGTCGTGATTGTTTTTGCACGCAGCTCTTTCAGCTCTGCCAGCTCCCATTGGCTGCTTATGCAATGTCGAGCAGAACAATTGGCCCTAAGGCATTGGTATTGAGTTGTTCGATCATTAAGTCTGCATTTTATGACAACTTTCTAGCCGAAACTTTGCCTACAAATGCCTCGTCTTTGTGTCCATAGGAATTTATTGCCATTTTTTATGGATGGTAAACCTTTTCAGACTCTTATATGATTCACTCAGAAGAATAGATGACGAACAAGAAGAAGACGGCTCAGGAGGCTATTGAGGCGTTAATGGAGCACAACTTTAATGATCATGAGCCGTTAAGACGCGAAATGCTTGGTACACACATCCAAAGCTGTCTGTCAGGTGATCATGGCATGATCGGCTAGGAACAGCTTCAAATAATTTCGACAACAAAATGGTAATTGCCTTGAGCTTTTTATGATCAGTACAGAAGGACTGCAAGATCATGCAGAGAACGAATGAGAGAGAGAGAGAGATATAATGAGAGATCTGTTTGTCACGTTGTTGAAAGATCAAGTAGTCATCACAAGGATTACATCGAGAAAGTGATTAATTTATGTCTACACTAAAGAGAATATGAGATCAACAGATCAAGGAACGCTCAATTAATTCTATATAAAAGCGTGAAGATCAAAGTATTTGTGTATCATGTGCTTCTGCAAGGTGACCATGACATGATCGGTTGAGATCAGTATCGAAGTATTGCAAGGTCACAGAGACAGTGGGAGGGGGAGATCAGTTTATAATTTTCGCTCAAAATATGTCAAGCAAACTAAAGCGAACATAAGCTCAACAGATCAAGTAACGATCATTTATTTCTATTTGAAAAAAAAAAAACATCTTATGATCAAAATAAATATTATTAATAAATATTATGGATAAAGAAAAAAAATCGATTTTTGTTTGCATTATAATAATGAAGATCATGTCGGAGAGCGCTGTCAGCTGGCAGCTGTGGCCTGCTAGCGAGGAGGATTCTGCACATACTTGGATGTGTAGTACTTGACCTGATCCTTGCTCTGGTCGTTGCGGTGGCGCCCCTTGTAGCTGCAAGTGTGAGAGCTAATCAAGTGAACAGCTTTGAGTAGTTCGTTCAACAAACTCACCGCGAGTTCAAAATGAACCAGGTGCTGTCCTCGTGCTCCATGCAGCTGCCGGAGCAATCGAGCTCAATGCCAGACGCTCTGTGGCGCTTGGGGCTGCGCAGCAGCTTGCCCAGCGTATAGACTGGAAAGGCAAAGTACTCCCGCTTCAAGGCATAGCGCGAGCTCTGGCGCAACAACGGCGGTGCTGCTGTGGTGCTGGCCTGCGAGTCGTAAGGTGGCTCCATGCTCTCGTCCACATAGACTATCTGGAATGAAGATGAAGATGAACTAGCTGAGGCACTGGCGGTGCTGGTGCGCGTCTCCTCGAGCTCTGCTAACTGTGACTGCTCCGGCAGTGCCAGCTCCTGGCTGACGGAATCCTCAATCTCAGCCTCCAGCTGATCCAGCTGCTCCAGCTGCTCCAGCTCCTGCTGCTCTTGGGCCGCGCTGGCTGTGCTGGCTGTGCTGGCGGTGGTTGCCACCACGTAATGACGATGATTGTCGGGCGGCTCCAGTGCCGGCGAGCTGCGCAGCGTTGGCTGCCACTGCACCACTTCCTGGGGCGAGCGATAGGCATTGTACTGCTTCGCCTTCTTGGCTTTGCGCTTGTGCTTGCTGCGCGGCAGCTGCGTTTCGTAGGGCGTCGTCATGGGCGTCGTGGCTGCGAGTGGCTCAGAAGCAGTTGCCGTTGCTGGAGCTGTTGCTGGAGCAGTAGCAGATTCAGTAGCTGCAGTCGTATCTGTTAGGTATGTTTCTCTAGAGGAGCCTGCGAACAGAGTGGTGGCGGTGGCTGCAGCTGTGGCAGTGGCTGTGGCTGTTGTGGTTGTGGCTGTGGTTGTTGTAATCGGTGGCACAGTGATAGCCTCGTGGGCATAGAAGGGAATCAGCGTCAGATTGAGCAGCTCCCGCTGGCCAGGCAGTCGCAGGCGCTCCACAATGGGCTTGGGTCGGAACATGGGCGTCGAGGGCGGATAGAGCACCTGCCCGGGCACCGGCTCCTGCATGGGATAGCGCTGTGCACTCAGCATCGTGTTGAGCAGCAGCTCGCCCCTGGTGCCATTGTAGACGAAGATCGGGTAGCTGGCAGTGGGCAGAGCATTGTCACCGGGCACATTGTCGAATATGGGCAGCGACTGCGGCTGGCGGCGCCGTTGCGCCGGCTTGGGCCGGGACGTTGTTTGGCCCAGCTGCTGGACGTAGTGGCTCGGCAGCTGCAGGCGATGCGGCAGCACGAAATGGCGCTGGGCGAGCGATGGTGCGGCTAGCGGCGGCGCCACCAGATGCGGCAACTCCTCAGTTGTGTCGGGTCGCACGCGAATCGTGATCGCTGTGGGCAGTTGCTGTCGCTGCTGTCGGCGCTGTGCTCGGGCGCGTCGCATTATTGTGGCACGCGTGCTGGTGGCGTAGTCCGAGTCGTGCCGGGACTGGCGCTTCATCAGCTCATCCTCAAGTATCCAGAGCGGCCGTTGGCCCGCATCCAAGTAGCTGTGGGCCAGCGAGTAGGGCGTGCGCGCCTGCGTCCAGGTCCAGCTGCCGGGCAGAGCGCTCAGCAGGCGCAGCAGCGCCAAAGTCCAACTGCTCAGCGCCTCCATTTGCGTGTGCCTGTGCGTCTTCCAATTAAATGGCCAAGAGAGCAGCGCCAACTGCACTCTTTATATGCCAACTACTTGGCTTTCGTTTGACTTCGTTTGCAAATAATAGCCCAACTTGTTTTCGCCGGGTCAGCGCAGTTCAGTGGGTTGTGCCACATCCCAAATCCGGTGGCTCAAGTGGTTCTAGGGCATGTTTATGCCTCGGCTAACATTGTCACCTGGCTCTGCCGCAAAGTTCTCAGCAGCTGTTGCTATTATAATGGGTTACCCACCGATTGGAGTCATGCCTCCGACTGCTGTCCCCTTCCATGTTTAGTTTTAAGTGGATAATAAGTCTGAAGTCGATTGGCAATCGAATCTTAAATCAAAAATTTCACCCATTTTCCACTATTGTGCGTGAAATTGGGCATCTGCTCGTCTACGGATTCGAATAGATTGGATACAAATTTCTTAGCTGATCTGTGAGGCTTTGTTCTGATGGCTGCTAATGGAGTCTCTATTGGCTGAAGACTGACTGCAGCTGTTGCCAAGCCTGACCAAATAGTGGGCAGCGGGCAGCGGGTAGGAGGCAGGCCTTCATATGGACAGCTGTCAAAACGGACATTAATCAAAACACTCTAACTGATTTGCTTTCTGGCGGTGCGGAATGTTTCGTTGGGGCAACCATTCAGACATCGACATGCAACAATATTTTGGACGCATCGCCTGACGTTGGACGATCAAAACATGGCAGCCGATTCTGATGGGAATCCGCCAGTGCCTACAACGTGTGTGTGTGTGTGTGTGTGTGTGTGTGTGTGTGTGTATGGCTCTTAGTTGTGGGTCTTTTGTTTCACATTTGGCTCTACGCTTCTACATTTGTTTTTAGTCCACGGTGTTTGGAAAAACAATTTGGGCAACTTGCAAGTATTTCCCAAGCCAGAACGAGAACGAGAACGAGAACGAGAGCGTGAACGAGAGCGAGAGCGTGAGCGAGAGAGGCAGAGGGTGGCCGAGAAAACTGACAAACCAAACATGACCACAGCGGAGTGGAACAAGTGGAACGGCCCCGCCAAAATGGGGTTAATAGCCTTTGACAGACAATTGGACGACCACGGGCGGTGCGGCGATCGTGAGTTCTCACTTTTGGGTGGGGCAACGAAAATGGAAAATGAGAATGGAAAAATGATTTATTAGCCTGTGTATCTGTGGCTTTGATCGATCAATCGGCGCTATCTGCTGGTGCCTGCTCTTGTTCTCCCTTCTTTATACGCCTGTTCCGCCGGCTAATTACAAAAATAAAATCATTTTCCTCGATTGCTCAGCTCCGACTTTGGGATCAGAAGTCCGATCCGACGTCAGAAATGGCTGTGTGAACGAATTGAAAACGATTTTCCATCTATATCCATTCATTCATATCGATTATTAAGTGCTATGTTTAGGTGGTAATTTATGCCTACGATATTATATCATTTCGTTTGGGATCCCTCTGCACCCCTGCCCCCCTCTCTCACTGTCTCTCTCCCTGTCCAATTGCGTGACTTTACAGCATAATTAGATTGAATTGGAGGGCATTTGCCAGGGCTTTATGAGCTTTTAATGGTCTCTAATGCATTTTAAATTCGCTTAAGCGCATTGCTACTCTTCAGTTCCAGTGGATGTTCTCGGGGAACTGCTTATCTGAAATTCCACAGTGACTTTCCTATCTATCACACACGCTAACTCGTGCCCATAATTAACAGCTGGAAATATTTGGACAGACATAAGACAAACGCCAACTCTCTCGCACACACACACACACACCCGAATTTGTAGAGGAATGTAAGACTGGCATGTAAATCATAGGGTATCCGCTGAGCTCTGAGCCCAGTCAAGCGCATCGCATTTTTGACACCAACAATTTGTTCTGTCAATTTGTTATAGAATGCATTTTATGCAAATGAAATCTGTCCTCAATCTATCTCACAGCAACTTCACTTAGCGACCTGAGCCACACTCTACTCATATGTGTGTGTGTGTGTGTGCATCATATTTTGTGGCATTCTTTTTCAGTGGTGCTTCGTAGCATCAACTGATTGATGCGCCGCATACAGCGCACTATGAATAATAAACAATAAACTAATCAAGAGCCAAGGCGAAGATCAGCAGATGCATCTGTCAGATACACTTGCGACCTGACAGATGCAGACACAGATACAGATACAGCCAGAGACACAGATATAGATACATAGCAAATGTCAAATGATTCGTTTGTCTTACTCCTTATATCGTAGGTGTGGACACAAATGTATGCCAAGAGATAAATATACACACATATATATATATATATATATATAGATATATATGTATGTATGTATGTATGTATGTATGTATGTACATGCATGGCGACTGACTTGACGTGGGTTGCCTGGGATTGTGTATGTCACCTAATGACATTTGCCGAAGAGCTGAGCTATCTAATGGTCAGGTGTGAAATCTTAAGATCTCTGCTTAACTAACAAAAAGCTAAATTGACTTTCTGGATTATACGTAAGGAACTAAATATGTCTGGCATGAATTTCATATTTTATTTCGTATTATTAAGACTTCTATGAATATCTAAAAGTTCTCCGAATCGGAAGATTCTTTGCTTTCCAGGCTCCTAGGTTAGATGTGTCAGATGTTTAGATGTTGAGAAGGAGAGAGAGAGAAAGAGAGAGTGAGTGAGAGAGAGAGAAAGAAAGAGAGAGAAAGAGAAAGAGTCAGTTGTAAAGAGAAATTAAAAGAGAAAGAGAGATAGAGAGTCAGTAATAGGAGAGAAATAGGAGACAGAGAAAAAAATAAAGTGAGAGAGTAAGACAAAAACAGAGAAACAAATAAAAATTGTAAAGCAAGTAACACAGAGAGAGAGAAAGAGGTAAGAACAGAACGAAAGAGATAGAATAAGAAAGCTATAAAGACACAAAGAGAGAACGAAAGATCGAGAGAGAAATGCAGAGAAAGAGGCAGAGAGAGAGAGAGGGAGTATGTAGGAAAGTTCTGACTGACATATAGAGATAAAGAGAGAAAACGGAAATTGAGTTCAGTTGTTTAAGAGAAACATATAGAATGAGAGAAAGATAGAGAGACATATGCACACACATGTATGTATATACAAGTGTTTATAGATATATCTAAGCGATTCGTATCTTATCTGTGAACATATAATCGCTTTGCTCACATAAAACTAATTACCCTAGTCCCGCATACAATCTGGATTATTTATTGGACTCTTCAGATGGCTGCTTGCCTGCATCTGCATGGGCAGCGGCCATCCACATCCAGCCTTATCTGTGGCTGTAGTCATATCAATCAGAATATTAATTACAAGCCCATCCATTACACAGCCGCAGTCGACAGTCGGCGCTCGCCATCAGCTGGAAGTTCACGCAGAGCGTAAGAGAAAATAACATGAAGCGTCGGCACTTGAGATCAGCGAGAGCTTTTCGCGCGCGGCGATCGGTGTGCGGTGTGCGGTGTGCGGTTAATTGTTATTGGGCAGCAACAAGCTAGCAGCAGCAAGAAGCTCTTCCAGCACGCGCCGTCGGCTGCGTCACTGAAAGCTCGGCCGACGGTTCGTCTCGCGTTTCGCCTCTTCGCCTCGTCGCCTCGTCGCCTCGTCGCCTCGTCGTCCGATTGGCCGATTCGCCGACTCCAGCCCTGGGAATGTTCAGCATTCAATTTGCCTGCCTGGGCTCAGTGCGAATTGTGTTGTCGAGGCGCGCGGCGGCTACTTTGGAAACCGTTCGGTCCACTGCTTGCTCTTGCTCTCTTTCTCTCTCTCTCTCTATCTCTCTCTTATTGTATCTTCATTGCAAAATTGGTTTTGTTTTTGTTTTTTGGGTTTTGTTTTCGTCACAGAACTTGTTGTGCTGTATCGGAGCGAACGTCTAGCAACAAAGTGAGCTTTGCCTTAAAAATTTCGACTTAAAAACTCTTTCTGTTTAGACTCTTATAAATTTTTGCTCGTAGTTGCTTTTTTTTAAAAAAAAGAAAAGGAAAAAATAACCCTGAAATTTGGCACATATTCGTTGACATAAAAGTATATATGTGTGCATATATGTATATATGGGTAACTAACAAATAAACTCTGGTCTCCATCCCCTTTCCACACATCCCGATTAGTTGAAAAGAGCAACGAGATGAGCAGTCAAAGTGATCATATACCCACTATATCGCCGGGTCGCAAAGCCGCCTTTCAGGTGATGTCGGGCGGCTCGGCTGGATTCCTGGAAGTGTGCATAATGCAGCCGCTCGATGTGGTCAAGACACGCATGCAGATTCAAGCGCGTCCTGCTGCCATCACCGCCATCCCCGCAGCCGAGGTGAGTTCATAAAGTTCATGCACTGTCAGCCATGTAAACAAAGGTGTTTTGCCAAAAGAAACCTAAGCGTAATACATGTACGGTTCAAGAGGCTTATGTGCTTAGCTCGCTAACCAATTGTCTATGTGTGTGTGTGTGTGTGTGAGTGTGGCATAAGCAAGACGCCGATAAGAACCAGACCGCTTTTATGACATGCCCAAAAGAGACCCCAACACGCACCAATCGTACTGCCCAGCTGATAGGGCAGATATGTACTTGTCTATGTCTATGTGTGTGTGTGTGTGTGTATTTTGAGGTCGTGTCAAGGTCACCAAAAGCGACAGTCAAACAAATATAGATTGCTATCCAATGGACACACTCGCACAGCTGACGAGTGCTTCAATACTTACAAATGTGTGTGTCAACATCTCTACCTACACCTACACACACACACACACATACATATACATGCTTACATATAGACATACGCTTATCGATTGAGCGCTGTTCTCAAAATTTTGACTTATCTCTGGCGAATTTCATGGTCTTTAAACTCGTTAAAATTATCACCGAAACGCGTGTTCCCAAGTGAAATAAAACAAATTGAAACGTCCTATTGCACTTACCATATCTTATCGGCTCATATTTGAGATCTTATGTTCTCAGCTTTTGAAAATGCATCCGTTCCATAGATAACTAAGCCTTTATATATTCAACTGTTATAATGCCTATATTACCGGCTATATACTGAAGATGCCGAGAATAGCTAAGAACAAAGAGATGCTGGATGTATATGAATATGTATATATATATATATATATATATATATATATATATATATATATATATATATATATATATATATATATATCTATATATATATATATGTATATATATGCATGTATGTATAATACGCATACGGAAACTTTGCTCTTCATATATATATATATATATATATAATTAAAAAATTATATAAATATGTAGTTGAGAAATAACTAATAGCATCACTATGCAAGTTTTTAAACAAATTACTTATGTGTGGTGCTATTTTATATTTCGCAGCTGTATTTGCAGTTATATATATATATGTATATATATATATATATATATATATATATATATATATATATATATATATATATATATATATATATATATATATATATATATATATATATATATGTGTGTGTGTGCGTGCGTGCGTACAGCTCATGATGATATTTCTATGCGTTTAACTAATTTATTAGCACATTATCAAAATAGATGCAAAAGTAATTTAAATTACACACACACACACACACACACACACACACACACACACACACACACACACACACACACACACACACACACACACACTCACACACACTACCACACACATAGAAGAGTTAAATCAGCTAATAAACTAATTGCGAAAGCTTCCAGTTTTTGTTTTGTTTTTTTTTTTATGATATTTGCGTGCCGTGAGCAGTGGAAAATGGAACAAAATATTTTTAAGTTACGCCAAATACCGCTAAGTTTGAGTCTATTTTTGAGTGACATAAAAAGCTTCTTCTGCTTTAATTACAAAGGAGTTCAATCAGCTCTTAACAGACTTGCTTTTCGAGGCTTATCTTTATACATAGATATATAAAATGGAATTCCTATTCAGCTGAACTGACTGCGAGCCCTATCTGATTGCAGGTGCACTACTCTGGCGTGTTTGACTGCTTCGCGAAGATGTATCGGCAGGAGGGCATCGCGTCGTATTGGAAGGGTCTGATGCCGCCAATACTGGCTGAGACGCCCAAGAGGGCCATCAAGTTTCTGGTATTCGAACAGACAAAGACGTTCTTCCAGTTTGGCTCGCCGACACCGACGCCGCTGACGTTCGCACTGGCGGGCTTAACGGCTGGCACGCTGGAGGCCATAGCTGTCAACCCGTTCGAGGTGGTCAAAGTGTCGCAGCAGGCGAATCGCCAGAAGAAGCTGATCGGCACCTTCGATGTGGCACGCGACATTGTCCGCAACGATGGCATCGGACTGCGCGGCCTCAACAAAGGCCTGACCGCCACAATGGGCCGCAATGGCATCTTCAACATGGTCTACTTCGGCTTCTATCACAGTGTCAAGAACCTGGTGCCGGAGAGCAAGGACAACACTTGGGAGTTCATACGCAAGGTGACCATCGGCTTTATGGCCGGCACCCTCGCCTGCTTCGTCAACATACCCTTCGACGTGGCCAAGTCACGCATCCAGGGACCCCAGCCGATGCCCAACCAGATCAAATACAGCGGCACGCTCCAATCCATTCGTACCGTCTACAGGGAGGAGGGCTTCCGTGCCCTCTACAAGGGCCTGGTGCCCAAGATCATGCGCCTGGGACCTGGCGGCGCCATCATGCTCCTCGTCTTTGACTACACATACGAATACCTTTTGTTGAACCATTCATAGTCCTCTCCTAACAAACATAGCTATAAGAAACTGTTGGATTTTTTTTTTAGACTTGCTTGAAAATATCTAGTAATACCAGAACTGGCGAACAGATGTAAATACATAATTAAACACTTCACCTTATTCAGCGGCGTTTGTTCTTAATCTGGTTCGAATTGGTGGAGAACCTTTCAGATACTGCTGCTTGACTCGGGCGAGACAACTGCGAAAGAGGAATCCCTCCTTTTGTAGATTATTTCCATATCAGAAGAGTTGTCGAAACAGAGGCATACGCCAGGGGGAGAGAGGGCGCGATAGGGTGTCTGAAGGGCAGACGATGGCTTGGCCACAATCGGAGCCAAAGCTCCATTTTATCACATCCAGACACACATGGCGTACATCAACAAGGTCTGATATTTCCCGGTTGCTAAATATCTTCAATTTCTGGTAAGCCGGAAAGTTCTTGACTCGAAAATGCAACGCCAAAAAGTATGCTATAGCATTGCAAACAAAGTCTAGAATTCTCCACTAAGCAGCATACTTTCCGACAATAGATATATCGATATAAGTAGCTGCTAAATCGTCACAGATCAGAGCAAAGTAAAAACATTAATATCACATTTAGTCTATGAACATCTTTTGTAGTATTTATATAAATAAATCGATTTGCATAACCTAGGCCATAAGGTAAATGTGGGTACATATAACATCTAGTTTGTTGTAATTTCTCTCGATTCTGGTACATATATATATGTATTTAGACGCTTCTATATAAGTATCTTGTTAGGGTTTCCGTTTCATTAACATTATCTAGCTGCAACGGAGATCAAGGTATTCGAATGTATGTATATATACATATATATATATATGTGTATGTATATATATAGAACTCTTTTTACTACATTGTTTCGTTTTTAATTGTCTTATATATAGTCAATTTAATTGGATTACAATTAATATAAGGTTGGCAGAAGCGAGCAATTGGTTGTATTTGATTCCTTTCCTATGATCCATCAACATTTTCATTGTTATTTTTAATAAATAATTGTAACTTTTAATTAACGTTCTGTTTCTTTACATGTTTTCTTTTCTTGTTGCATTCAGTTGTTTTTCTTTTGCTATTGTTTGCTAAAATTAACATTTTATCGTCTTTTGAGGCAATGTTAATCTTTTTTGGACCACAGACTAAATATATAAATATATATGTATATATATATATATATATATATGGATGTATATATATGCAACTAACTTAAGACTATTTAATAAAATTTGTAAAAAAATTTATATATATATATATATATATTAGGTATTCCGAATGCTGTCGCTCAACTTCCCTAGCTATGCTTTTGCACATGTTTATTAAAAAAAATATCGAATTGCTAGGGTTTTTATAACTATAATAATAATCATAATAAAATAAATATAATTTATTTTAATTATCTGTTTTTGTTGTGGTATATGTATTTAAGGTATCATATCAAAATAATGTTGCAAACATGTTCAATTTTTACGACAAAATCCAAAAGAAAATGATCAAAAACCTTCGTTATGTCAATAAACTAAATAATTTTGCTGCATATCTTGTGTGTGCCAAATCGCTGTCGTGTGTGGGTGTGTAGGCATACATATACATATATACATATTCATGTACATTCATATACATATACATATACATATTGCCTCTTGGTCTATCAATCAAATTTATATAAAATGCATTCCACTGCCACTCTTTAGATCTGAGTCCGTTTTCTGTCTCTATGTGTGTGTGTCTTTTCAGTCAATCATCCATGTATGTGTTTGTATCTGTGTTTGCATATATATGCCTAGGCATATATCTCGCCTGCTGATCTATCCATAGCTTTATAAGAGAGAAAATACAGTATAAAATGCATTCTTGCCACTTTTTAGATCTGAGCCTTTGCGTGTTTTTCAGTCCATCTGCTTCGTTGTAGGTCGCTGACGCGCCGACGCGTTCAAAATGCAAAATTTAAGGATAATAACAAAAACAATCAGGAACAATATTAAAAAAAATAATTAAATTTCAAATATCTATCCTAAGCTAATGGAACGATGCTGGCGGTCAGTTTGCACCGCTGGAGCTGGTCTCCAGTTTCTAATAGATGCGTTCATAGAACAGCAGATACGCCTGTGCCTTGAGAGCCGCCTCCTCGCTGACCTCCTGGACACGCGAGTCCGATACGTAATACCATTTGCCGGGCGGTGGCTGCACATTGGCCGCTTCTTCGGGCTCACCGTTGGCCATGCCCGCCGTCTGATCGGATGAGGCGCCAGTGCCCGCAGCACCAGCAGTAGAATCAGATGCGGCAGCAGCTGCATCGTCATCGACAGGGCCATTACTGAGGTCGGATGAGGCCTCGTCTGAGGTGGATGCATTGCTGCTTGAGCTGGTAAAATCATCGCTATCATCCATTGCATTCATGCGCATCTCACGCGCCTTCTCCTTGACCAACAGTTCCTCAAGCTTCTTCAGCTGTTCATCGTCCTGATCTAGTTCGGCCTTGCTGCCATGCGGCAGGAACTTCCAGCGCTTATCATCGGGCGTCACCTTAGGACGCACCTTCACATAGGCCGTGTAATGTCCGCCATATAAACCGCCAGAATGCTCGACAACGCCATAGAGCGCGTACAGCAGCTTCTTTTGTTTGCGATCGATGTTGGGCAAGTTCTTTACTTTGGAGCCGCAGAAGGCGGCTATGTCCAGCAGGACCGTGTAGCTGACAGGCCGCGTTAACTTGCGGAAGATACAACGCGGACCCAACTGGAATCTCTTCAGATGTAGAATTAGCACAGCCGGCGGACTGGAGACCAGCAGTTGCTTTGTCGCATTTGTATTCACGGATTTGGCTTGCGGATCGGGGCCGTTGATACGCCGTGTGCAGCTCTCGCAGCCGACCTTGTTTTGACCCGTCATCAGCTCTACGGCGGTAAAGTTGTTAAGACACGACGGCACTGAACACTCACCCACCTCGCATTGATATCGAGGCGCAATCGTAGTGCTCCAGTCCGAGTAGCTTTGGGTGCGCACTCGTTTTGTGGGCGCCGCACTCTTGGCCTGTTCGCGAAGTCTCAGCTGCTCCATCTGCAGCTGCAACTGCCCCGATGAGAATTGCCGTATTATAGAGGCGCCCTCTTCGCTCAAGCTGGCGTTTACCAAGCTAGCTGCCGCGCTGTCTATTTCTGTTGGTGCATTCTTATTCGTACCATTGCAGACTCCGTTATTATTATTATTGCTATTGTTGCTATTGCTGGTGGTGCTGGTGGTACTGGCAGCGCTGTTGGTGGTTGTGGTGGGTGCCGGACTGGTGGCTATGCCTGAGTCTGTAAATAGAGATAGAGTGAGATAACATTATCATTTGCTGTCTCTTTCGTATGTATTTACATTGCCTCCATATTGGGCATGTTGTCTTACCATTCTCGTCTTCCTCCAGCGAATCCTTGTCCATGTGCTCGGGCGTATCGTCGCGTTTTTCGCTGACCGGCTGCGAATTACCATTGCTGTCTGTGTAGAACTTGGCATTGCTTCCGGCTGCTGTATCGTCAACTAGATTGTCCTCAACATCGGCATCAGAGTGCTCGGATGTCGTTGCACTCTGGGAAAGTGATTTAGCACGTGGACCCTCGCCCCAGGGAGCGGAGCGCGTCTTCTCGCTATCGGTATCCGCAGACGTAGGCTGTGCTTGTCCATGGCTATCCCCACTCCCGGGCTGTTGGTCGCCATCGATATCATCTCCTCCTCCTCCGCCGCCGCAGCCACCACCGCCGCCACAACCACCACCGTTTGTCTCGTCAGTGATGTTTAGTTTGAGCGAGAGCTTTTGGGCTTGTTTGGTGCGCTGGTGCTTGGCGGCACGCTTGGCCTTCCGCTCGCGCTCCTTCTCCTTCTTCACCTGTGCCTTGGATAGTCCCAATGATTCCTGTCCATCAGCATGCAGATAAAACGGAGACGATGTCAAACCCATATCCACCTCGCCGTTGCAGAGCTTCGGGTTGAGAATGCTGTTGTTGTGAGCGGAGGAAGGCGAGGTCTCGGGACTAGTTCTGCGGCGCTGCGGGGGTTGCGGCTTTTCGACAGCCACGGGCAACGACATGTCCAGAAAGTACTCGTGGCGTGAAGAAATGTTAAAGCAGTCTTGGCATTTGAGCGTCGAGACCAGGAAGCCGCGAAACACTTGCTCCGGGCGCAGTATGCGATCGGCTGCCTGATTGCCATAGATCTTGCATTTCTGGCGCAACTCCTCAGACACGCTGTTAATATCCTGATCCTTGTATCCTAGATTTTGCAAAATGACGCGCTGATAACGCTTCAAATCCTCAGAGCGTACGCTCTCCAGCAACTGGCGCAGCAGCTCGTGTGCATCGTGCTGATCACCGCCAGTAAACTGTGGACATTTAGCACACAGTTTATCAAAGAGTTTGCTGGGCGTAAACACACTGCCACCGGACTGCAGTTCCTCTAGTGCATTGGCGAGGGCAGCGGTGAGATTGCCCCACGAGGAGAGCGTGCCCTTTATAATTGGCAGCTCAATATCACCCTTATCCTTGAAATTAAAAGTGCCACCGGGCAATACAAATCTAAGAACAAGTTGAAATTAGCAAGAGAATTTCCACTTGGCTTATTGGGACTTACTGCTCTCCTGGTTCTGCCAGCTCCTTGAGTACATCCAGAAGAAATGGTGTTTGCGCCAGACACTGCATAACGGCATTAAAGAAGCACGTATTGCCCAAGTTTGTTAGACCACGGACGCGTGGCAAACGATCCAGTTCCGGACTGCCCAGTGATGGAGTAGCCGGTAGACCAGTCGCCGTCTGATAAATGACACGCTTATCCAGCACACGTTTGGCCATGCCCGGCACTGTGCCAGTTGAGCTGGCTGGTGGTGGCGTTGGAGGCGGCAACGGTATGGCCGCATTGCCTTCATTGGCCGTGGTCATTATCTGTTTGCCGCCAGTCATCGGCACAATTGGATTAATCTGATCTAAAGTTGATAGTATTTTGTACTGTACGTCGGCTACGGTTGCGAGCGGTTTCTGTGCCAGACGCTTCACCAGTTCCACACAATCGAGCAGATTCTTACGAGAGTTAGCAGACACCTCGGTGCCGCAATCATAGCACCAGATCTTAAATGAGCGCGTATTTAAAGCCAGCGCATGTGAGTCAGAGTGCGGAGTCTAAAAGTGGACGAAGTTGAAAGTAAAATTAGCACGGAAAGGATATATAGTAGATTGGGTTTTGTGTCACCTGATAGTGCAGCAACGCGTGCTTGTTGCGTTCGCGGCTGCACAGCTGCGTGCCGCATTTGAGGCACAACCAGAGGGTGTTGTCGTATTCACAGACAGTTGAGTCGGCGCCACTATCATTGGGCGGATTAAGTTTCTGGCACATCTGGCAATCGTAGAGCAATCCCGTGGACTTCAAATGGCGCCGCAAACGCGTCGGATCTACCGCCTTCTTGATGTGTTGGCAACTTGTGGCACTGCTTCCGGCGCCAGCATGTCCATTCACAAGCTCCTCCTCGCCCGAGTCTGTCCAGCTGCTGCCGTCCTGTTGTGCGTCGGTCTGTCGTTTCTTAACCATGGTGCCGCTGCAGCTTTTGCAATTGCTCAACTGACCCAGCGGCTCTCTGGCCTCCCTCACGCTCACTGAAATGGAATAAGAGTAGACTGTAGCTAGGACGCGGCCGACCAGAAGCACTACGGCTCGGATAGTTCGCTCCAGATAGTGGTATATAGAATATGAAATTGGTGTACCCTCTGTAGCAGTGTCATTAATTTCGTCGACCTGATTGTTATTTTCGCTGATATTACTATGATCGCTGATGTTATTACTGTTGATGTTGATGATTTTGTTGTTTCTGTTGATGTTGTCTTTGTTGTTGTTATTGTTATTGTGACAGTTGCATACGCGGTTCTCCATTGAGCACTTTTAAGAGCGCAGTGATTCCAAGTTTATTAAAATTCTGTTACTGCTTTGTTTACGTTATTCGTTTTCTATGACTGATTACAAATCCTGATATAGTTTTTGAAAAGATTTGACGTCGATTTGACACCGCCTAGCAGTTGGCCGTCTTTGTTGTGCTGCTCACAGTGGCAAACGTGTCTCTTAGCTACGGCACACAGTTCGTACCGCCCTAGAGATGCAGGCACAACATTGGGTGGGAGACCTAGCTTGATTTCGAATATACAGCCAAGCAATAAGGAAACAGGTTTCAAATCGCAACTGAATCAATTAACAGTTAGTATATATCAATTATATATATACTTCTATCTTAACTATATGTTAGAGTGGATCAGATCATAGACTTCGACTTATACTTAGTCTTATCTGATAAGCTTTACTTATGTTCCTAATGTTTAATATTAGTGTTTGACACATCTTAGATAATCAAGCTGTGTCAGCAGAGAACTTTGACTTGGAAGAGTGTTTAAGCTTCGGCAAAGTGAGAACGGTTCCGCTTGTTGTTGCTGGGTGTGTGTGTCTGTGTCTGTGTCTGTGTGTTCAATGCTGTCTCACTTATGGCTACATTGTGGGGTGGCGCAGTATTTTGGATTTTTTTTTTTTTAATTTTGGGGTCAAATCTTTGACGCACGTTCATTGGCCCGCAGCGCTTCTTCAACAACAGCAGCAGCGCTGCTGTTTGAGGTTAAGTTTAAGTTCAGGTGCTGCCATATTGGGCAGCAGCAACAGCAGCAGCAGTAGTAGCAGTCGCAACAATCGCATTCGCAGTCGCAGCATTGTTGTGCTTCGTGTCTGCTTTTGTGTTTGTGTTGTCGGTCGTGTGAGCCACGCAACGCAACGCGACGCAACTGTCATAAGCAGCACATTGGAATCTCGGGGACAGTAAACCCATTTTTTGACAATATATACAAAAGCACGCACACAAATGTGCGCACATACATATATCTATACACACATACAAACACACCCACACCCACACGCAAGCTCGCTCGCTCGCATGGAATCGAGACAGGATAGTTATAATGGTTGCGACTTATGTTTGTCCCTAGTCAGTCCAGGTGCTACATTTTTTTGCACACTCATCGTGTGTGCATTGCGTCGTTTTTATTGACTTACCTTGAGTTAGATACTGCAATATGCGATGTACATTAAGTATTTTAGCGTTTCTGTAGATTTGCGCCTAACCACTGCGTAAACACCAAGCAAACAAAAAAACGTGAGCTTGAATTGCGTTCGCATTCGCATTTAATAAGTAAAAGAAAACATCGAAACAACAAATCGATTGTGCTCCGAAATGCAACTAGGCTTAACCGATACTACACAAAGCGATGGGCTGAGCCATCGATACGCCACAGTGACAGCTGTGCCATTGAAAGTGGTGGTCGGTCGAATAGAGACATCGATATCTTTTTGAGCGGGCATTCAAATTTGAAGTGTAAACTTTTAGCTTAGTTATGCAGAAATGTGGCACTGACTTCTCATCGTCTGACGTGCGCCAAAGAAAGCATATCCTACTTATTTTTTTCTGGAAACTGAGTGCTAACGAATCGAAATAATCGATTCGCAAAGGAGCAGAATTTCCCGGGCTTTCGCCGCTCGTACAGTTTCCACCATATCATACCATGCCATACATTTTTAAAAAGATCACGATTGCTAGGAAATAACATTTCCTGATCATATCGGCCAGCACTTTTGCTATTGCCAGTTATATATAGTTTATCACACGGATTAAAAGTATTGGAATAATATCCATTACGATCGTCAATCGAAGATTCAAACGGGAAGAGAAGTGAGCGCCATCTCTTTTAACTCAATTTGGTGACATGTCTTTATGCCACCCTGTTTAATCGCTCAAATCTAGCGTGCGCTATCGATGCCCCTTCATGACTGTCGATCAGTTAAAATTGCGTGTGGCAAGATTTTGAAAGCTAGGTGGCGTTACAGAACATTGCTGCGTTCGCCACCTAGAGTTCAATATTCATTAGTTCTATTAAGTCTAATCAGCAGCTGTAATTACTATCGCATAAAAGTAGCATCGATGAGGCCGATTAGCGACTGCGCAGGGTGGCATAGAGAAATGCCGACGAATTGAATAAGCTGGAGTTGTGGCGCTCATTTCTCTTGAATTTTGAATCGTTAACTGACGTGCGCCACAGAGATCAAATCCAAATACTTATATTCTGCGTAAGTCTCACCCATTATTTTTAAAATAATTTATATTAAATAGGCAATAGCTATTTCTTTCAGCTGACGCCACCTGTTGGCAAATACCAGCACTTGCATACTCTAAATGAAGCTGAAATTTACAGTTTTTAGCTGCAAAAGTCTCAGCTTTCGAAGAATTGGAACTTAAAATATTAAAAAAAAATTATATATTTATTTCGCTTACAATTTCTCTTAAAATGCTAAAAACTCTGATTAAAGAAGACAAAATAATGAACGCATACAAAATACTTAGACAACACGCCGCAAAGACGAAAAAAAAAAAATTGGCGAGAGAGACAACTGGGGAAAGACTGAGCTAGTTGTCTCAATGATGGTGGTGCCACCAGCCGGATTGACGGGCATTCACATAGCTCTTCAGGCCCTCGCGCTGCGAAATGGACTGATGGGATGGAAAGAGATGGGGTCCGCTCGTCTCGTAGTTGAGGCCGTTGTGCTGATTGAAGACATATGCCTTGGGCACCTCCACTCCGGTCGAAACACTGACGCTGGAGATACTCTGTCCCGGTCCAGCGGAAGGAGCTGCTGCGGGAAGATAGTTGCGACTAGGAGGCGCTGGCGCCCAGCTGGTTGAGAGTTGCGGCTTCTGGGGCAATCCAGCGGGACGATAGGGCTTATAGATAGGTGGAGCGACCGGCAACGACGGCTGCTGAGGCTGCTGCTTGGGCAAGCTGACCGAATTTGAGGGACCATAGACATTGTTCCTCAAGTCGCAAACGGTGTTGTCGATGAGAGCGCCAAGTGGGGCGGTATAGATGCGGAAATTGACATCGTTATAGTCCAGATCGGAGAGCAGGAAGACGGGCATACGATCGGAGAGTACCCAAACATTCTTGTTCTCATCAATCTTGACGTCCGCCGGGAAGACCAGGCCCACATCGTCGCGATCGACAATGCCATGGAACTGTGGCGTATAGGGCATCGACGAGTGCCAGCATCCGATGGCATTCTGGTCGATCAAATTGAACAGTTCGATGCCATCATCGCTCATCACGCGGGCTGTCGTGTGGGCATTGGGTCCGCGCTCATCCAAAGCAAGGAAATCGTGATAGCTATCCTCGGTGCGTGACTCGTCCCTTAGAATGCGCGTGGACACCGCAAACTGGCGATGGCTGGCCAAGGGGCTAAAGTAGAGAGTGCGATAGCCATCGGAACGGATGGGCGACAGGGCCATGCCAAAGATGCCCTCCTCGCCCCACTGGAAGTTTAGGCCAGCGATGTTGTAGTCGCCGCGCAATGGATCCGGGAAGAAGTAGGAGTGAGCCGAGAAACGCCAGGATTTGTTCAGCTCCCAGGAATACGTGATCAGGCCGTAGCCCAGCTCATCGGAGAAATATGCCATAGCATCGTCGCAGGTCTTGCCAATGTCCACAGCGATGTTGGCAATGAATGTGTTCGGATTTGTGTCTTCGGGGCGGAGCTCGTAGCGTCGGATTCTCGTATTTGTGGTCAGATCGAAGACGTTCACAGCGTACGGGCACGGATTGGTCGTGGTATTGCCAATGCCCACGGTGCCCGTGTCCAGCACCCAGAGACGACCGCACTCATCTACCTTGATGCGATAGGCTGTCGTGATGCTGTTTGCGCAATCGCCAGCCGTATTGCTGCGCCAATCCGGAAATGGTATGAGCTCCGGTGAGCCTGTCAGACTGTGATCCATATTGATGTAGGTCAATGTGGCCGGAATGCCTAAAAGAATAGGCCAAAAAGTTAAGCATATTCACTAATTATTATTAACCTTAAAATATTTAACTAGAGAAGACATTTACGGAGCCTTGAAAGCTCCAATCAAGCAGGTGGGATCTATGGATCAACTGCAAAGCATTTCAGACAGTCATCTCTATGCTCATTACGGGTAACTCCTTGCCATGCTATGGTAAGTCAACTCGAATGAAATTTGGCTATGAAAACTTGACAATTTCACAAGTTTTTATATAATTTTCAGCGGTCGAAACAGATGCACTTAAGCCAAAAAAACTGAAGTTGGCTTCAAAATGCAACTTTCTAGTCGGCTAACGATTGATGTGCTATGCGCTGGACATCAATCTGTTAGACAGTCAGTTAATCAGTCAGTCCGTGAGAGTCAATCAACTGCTGTGTGTGATATGAGACGTTGTCAAGTGAGTCGAGGCAACTTTTTCTTAGCTAATGCGCAAACTCCTCTACTCCACTCAAATTAAAAGATAGCAATTTCCGTTGTCATTAGCCACTGCATCATATCATCATCATCGCCATCATCATCGTCATCGTTTCCGCTCCAGTTGACAAGCGCAACTTTAACCAGTTGCTGCTGGTTGCGGGCGTGCGCGACATCGCTGGCACTTGTCTTGGCTAATTCTATAAGTGGCATCGACCTACGTCTGTCCTCATAGGCATTGCCTCAGCCAACGGCTGACAGCCGACAGCTGGTAGCCGACAGCCGACAACTAACAGCTTACAGTTAACCCCCTCGTCCGCCCACAGGCAATTTACGAATGCATTTGCAAAACGCGAGCTTGAATTTGCAACATTTCACAAATCCAATTGCAGTTAGCTAATTCGTTTTAAGTCTTAGTTTCCGATTGAAGTTGCTTTTCGTTTACTCACAGTTGAGCCAACTTAGAGTATGTAGAACATTGACGGTCTTAGAATGAGGAAATGCTATTGAGAAGAAGCGATGGCCATGCATTCATTAGTTACATATTTTAGAAATCGATAAATATCGTTTTTCAATTCTTATTATTAAAACGGAATGTAAAAGATTTAGATATATATATATGTATATTGTTAAATATTTGGTAGAAATCGATAATTATCGATATTTCCTTAGGCTTTTCATTAAGAAGTTCGTAGCCATGTTTAGGCATAGAGTATAGTGTTTAGATCTTAAATATTGGCATTGCTCGAATATAATTGAAGCCTTGCAAGACTTCCAGTCGGTGGATATAGAAGAAGTCACTGCTTAAGTAGTTCTATTGTATCACTTGCCTAGTACTATTCACATATATATATATCAAAAACTGTTAAACGCAATCGATCTAATCATCTGTCATGGAATCTGCATTAAGTTTGGCTTTCAGCAAATCTTTGCCACTTCACCAACTCAAACTCAATCTGGAATGTCTCGCCCGATGTTTGTGTAATCTGTTTCGTGTGATGACAAATGAATACCCTGTTCACTTAACAGCATAAACAACTTTATTTTGTAGCGACTGCATGCATGTGTCAGCTGCCTGTCAGACTCGATGCATAATTGTGTCCATCCGTCTGTCTTTCGGTGTTTCGGTTTGTAACGCTGATCTGGTTATATTTCTCCGCTCTGTGGACCTGTTCCCATGCATTATAAACAGTAGCGCAATGAGCGCATTTTAATAAACATTAATTTTGGTCGCTTAGCGCGTTTGCAAGTGGTTAAAAACCAATGAATTTACCATTAGCCAGATAACGCTGTCTCCCTCTTCCTCTCCCCCTCTCCATCTATCTCGCTCTCTCTCCCTCTCTCTCGCCCTCTCTGTCTCTCTCACTGTGTGTGTTCGGATTTCCAGTATGTCAATTGCAATGAGCGATCATTGGCGAGCCAAAAGGAGGCGCATTGAGACATTCAGTAGCTGTTGATATCAATTTGTAATTCAATGGCTCCAAGCTCATTGAAATTGCAAAAAAGAAGAAAAAATTAATCGAATCGAATCGAATCGAATGGAATTGAATCGAATCGACATGCCGCACTAATTATAATTATTTATTTATTTATTTTTGGTTGTTGAATCGGATTCGAAATCCGTTTTCATTAGATCGTAAATTATGTGGGAAACGAATTTGATTTGCAATTTGCCGATTTGATTCGCGTTCAGTTCTGAGTAAGTTCCTATGGGAAATGTGTTGCCCAACACTGGCCAGCTCTTGTATAATTCACAATAGCAAACGATTTCGTTACTTAGTTAAGCCTCGAAAATGAACGAATTTCCATGTGACTTCAACACTGCTTCATGCCAATTAGCCGTATTGAAACTTTATAGAGTTTTGAAAAGAAAATTATTCAAAAATATGGAAATGGAAAGAAAATTATTCAAAAATGTGCCGTTATTTATAGCGCTGATTTCCTCACTTTCCGCAGCGAAATATTAAGATGTCAATCTATATAACGTCAATGTTCGCCAAGCACATATCGTTTTGCAACACAGGTTTTTGCTTTTTTTCCACATTAGTCGTGAAATCCTTAAAAATCACACAAAAACTAGATATGAAAAGAGACTAGCGACAAATTCAATCTTTGGCTAACAGCTTTCGTTTATCAGCACTTTTTGCTTGTTAAGCTTGAATGGAATGTGAATTAGGCTTAAGATATTTGCATTCAACTCATTCAAGTTGTCAAACCGAAAATATTTCCATTCAACATAATTAAGTTTGCTATGTAAAAGTTGTATTGTGTAATAACTTTTGTTGACCAACACTCGACTGTATCCATGGATAAATGGCTGAAAATATAAAGCTATCTGGTCTAATATGGGAACTCGCCGTTCTTTGGCCAATTGACAATCGCATTGTGATTCATTCTTTGTTGACCAACAGCAACACCTTTCGAAGGGCTTGAAGTTGATTGATTTGTTAATGTTTCAATGACCCTTTCAATGGGTCCAATTGTGGTGGATAGACATAGAGAGGCCAGGCACTTGGCTACCTGGCAATACCTTTTGACTGTCAACTGACTGCAGCCGCTGCTATTGTGGGCTACGCACTTTACTTAAGATTAGCTAATTGATTTGCTTTTAAACCGCATTTTGCGGATTAACTTTCGCTCTTTGCGGCGCCGAAACTCCATTGAAGCCTGTGCGCCCACTCGGCACTTGGCAATTGGCTTTTGATTTGGCCGACCTTCTTGGCCCGTTGCCAACAGTGCCATTCCAATATTCATAATGTTCATATTCAAATGCCATTCTTCGAATACAGCTCAAGGCTGTGCTCAAGTTGTAAAAGCTAGAAAGCTGCTAATCGATAGCAGCCTAGCCATTGTCAAAGCTATAAAGTTTTCTTCTTATGTTGCATATGGAAATAGCTTAGATCTGGATTAAACTAAGTAACTTAGATTTAAGAGAGTCTGAAAATGGAGGTTTTAAAATGGAAGATGAAAGTTGCAAGATTGAAGATGGAAAATGGAAGATGGAAGATGGAAGACTATGAATGAAAGATGGAATATGAAGGATTATGAATGAAAAAATAAATATGAAGGATTATAAATGAAAGATGGAAGGTGAAGGAATGAAAGATTGAAGATGAAGGATTATGGTTGAAGATGAAGGATTATATTATATGAAAGGTTGAAGAATGAAGATGAAAGCAAACAGACAAAAAATTCAGATGACAAACTCAAGATGAAAGATGAATTATACAAAATAATCCAAAAATTCAGATGACAAACTCAAGATGAAAGATGAATTATACAAAATAATCCAAAGATAATACACAATTCGAAAGTCTAGAATGAGATTTTCTTCCCTTATTTGATCCATAAGATTTGCTATAGATGCTATAGATTGAGATTTTACTTCAAAGTGAAATCGAATACTTCAAGTAGACTTTCTTATATATATATACTGTATGTATATATGTATGTATACATATTTGTGTAGGAAGCCATCAAGAGCTTGTTATTCGAATATGAACTTGTGCAATTCAAGTTCGTTTTCCCGATATTTCCTTGACCATTTGGTAAACCAATTGTCATATCGTGCAGAACCAACCAGAAAAAAGCGAAACAAACAAACAACTCAAGAGCGCATTATTCAACTATTCAAACTTGTTGCACTCGAATGCAGCTCCAACTCTCACTTGGAGTCGAAACGCAGCTAATTGTTTACTATTGCCATTTAAGTATATTTCGTTTTTATTGGTTTTTCTTGTTTTTCTTTTCATTTGTAGCGGACTTCAAGGCTGTGATGAAGCCTTCGAAATTTTCTTGTTTTTATTTTATACATAAATTGGCTTCTCATAAATTTGCTTTATTGCTATGCAATTCACGTTAGAATTTGTTGTTAATTAAATTTTGTTTAACCGAATTGATTTTCACTTTTAAAGCTGAGCTGAGCGAAAGAAAAACTTGAGCTAAAAATATTTTCAATTTTGTTTTCACTTCAAAACACTTTAAGTTTATTAACAAGCTTTATAATATAAATTGATTGCATTTGATTTATATTTTTGAATATTTTAAAATTATTTTTAATAGTTAAATAGCTCATTGAATGAAACGATAATTTAACTTAAATTTAAACTCCTTATTTTTTAAAATTTGAGTTGATTGCAATTTAGAGTGGGAAGAAAAACTTTAGTTAAAAAATGTTAAATTTTGTTTACACTTCAAAACAATTGAAATTTATTAAAACTTTAAAATATAAATTGATTGCATTTGATTTATATTTTTGAATATTTTAAAACTCTTTTTATGTTTTAAAATATAAATTGATTTCATTTGATACACATTTGTGAATAATTTAAAACTCTTTTCAATGGATTAAACAGCTCTTTTAATGAAACAAAATTTAACTAAAATTTAAACTCCTTATTTATGAAAATTGGAGTTGATTGCAATTTAGAGTGGGATATTCACAAGATTTTTAATTTGAATATGAAATCTAATTTGTGAGGCACTAATTGAAGGATTTCTTGCATATCAATCAAGTTAAAATATTTTTTATTAAATTTGAAATCTTTTGAAAGTCGTTTTGAGTGCGCGTGTTGCAATTGAAGATAACAGATCGCCTGGGAGCCAATTATATATTCATAGCATCACAAGAAAAAAGTAGGCACTTGGCTAGGCACAGGTGTCAATTAGCTAAGCAGGTTGCCTTAATGACATACACAGAGCGCGTTGCGTCAATCAGGCAATCAATTTGTTGATCAATCGAACATGTTAATTGAGCGTAAAACAAGTGCGAAACACAGCCAAAGCGGACAAAAAGAGATTTTTGCTTTTTGGCAAAACTAATGAGGCCCAAAATGTTTGATTGATTGATTGATTAATTGATGTACATAGCCGTACTCACCATCGCGCCAGCGCGGAACGGTGACAAACAGACGATTGCCGAAGTGTTCGATGCCAACGGGCAGTGCATTCTGGGGTATGTAGTCGCCGCTGGCTATGGCCTGCTCCTTGAGCCTTTCGCTGGGAAAGGCGAAGTCCAATTGGTTCCAGCTGTAGCGCTCCTGCAGCTTGTAGGCGGCGTGGGCGTGGCCAGTCAGCAGGAGCAGCAGGCCGAGCAGGCAGAGTGGCAGACGAAGGGCCGACATGGCGTATGCGCAATGCAGCTGATGGAAGTTACGAATACACACAACTACACTGAACAAAAAAAGTACTAATATGTATATGTGTCTGGGCAGAAGGCGTTGGTGTCCTTTGTTGTGGGCGTGGCTTGGATTATGCTTAGCTTTGTTTAGCTTAAATCTCAGCTCGAGCGGCTGGCGCGTTCACGACTGTTGGCCATAACTTTTCGCTCACGTTTTATATAAACTTATTTTTGCAGTCGCAGCATTAGCAGCAGCCGCAGCAATGGCAGCAATGGCAGCAGCAACAGTTGTTGCCGCTGCGGCAGCAACAGTTGCCGAAGGCGCATACGCGTGGCTTCCTCTTCGGCAGCAATCGGCCGGCTCGAGCGGCTTAGCTCTCGCTGTGCCATTGTCTTATGCTACCATGATTGATTTTCACGCATGTTTAGATAAGTCCCCCACCATCCCGCATTTGCCCCCGTCGATGACCGCGCCTCCTGCACCTCTGCCGCCCGCCCCCTGCTGACAGCTGTAGTTCCGTTTAATGAATTTGCTTTTAATCAAATCGGCTCAGTAAATATAAAAAGCTACCCGTGACCCAACTGACCAGCAGCGCCGAGTCGGATTTCGAATTCGGATTCGAGTTCGACTTCCAATTCGAGTTCGAATTCGCCTTCGCCGACGCCTTTCGCTGCGTTTTTTTTTGTAATTTAATTGGCCTCAAAAAAAGTTTCTCGCAATTTTGGGTTTTGTTTTTCATTTCGATGATTCAGAGCCGAGGGTCAAATGCGCAGAGTTTCCGCCTAAAGCGTGCGTAATATGTAAATACCCTAGAAATCAGGTATATCAGCTAGAGCGGAAGGTACAGAGAAAAGCTATAGATGATAAGTCGAGGTGTATTTAACTATCTAGCATTTATAACAGTAAATGAGTCTCTCTGTCTCATCATCTCTCTCAGTCTCTGTCTCTGTCTCATCATCTCTCTCTGTCTCTGTCTCCATCTCTATCGTTGTCTCTGCATCTCTGTCGCTCTCTTTCCTTCTCTCTCTCTCTATTTGACTGTCTCTTCGTCTCAGTCTTTCTTCTTTATTTATTTATCTTTCTCTGTCCCATTCTCTCGCTCTCTTTCTCTCTCTGTCTCTCACACTGTCTCACTCTATCCCTTCTTTATGTCTTTGTCTCTATTTCCCCCTCTCTCTCTCTCTCTCTCTCTCTCTCTCTCTCTCTTTCTCTCTCGTCATTATCTATACATCTTTCCCTTTGTCTGTTTATCTCGCTCGGCGGCCTATATATCTATATCTTTATCCCTATCTATGTCTCTGTCTCTTTCTCTTCCCACTTCGGCTCTGTTTCTATCTATCTTTTTTTATCTGTTTGCCTTTGTCTGTCTCTCAAGGCAATCATTTTCAGATGCTGTTGATCTATAACTTAAGAATTCCGAAAACTTACATACGAAACAGTCGGTAGTCACGCGAAAGGTAAAATTTAATATCAATTCAGTCGAAGCTTAATCGGCTATATATATATCCAATAAAAGATCGGCTCTCTGTACAATATCCATAGACAAATGGTATTCTACACACACGAAATTTTCTAACGACTTTCATATTCTCATCTGATCTAATGAAAGTTTAGTTCGAGCTTTAAATATCAAATTACAGTGAATCTTGTTCACTCATTGAACTCGAGCTATCGGTTGAAAGGTAAGTTAATGCCAGCCTATTCTGGTGCAGAAATCCTGCTTCAGGAACCACGTCTGGATTCTGTAATTTAGAGCTGGATATAACAATTGAACAATTTAGCTTAAGTTCTGATTATTGTCAATGTCTATGCTCTAATATAGACTTCCAACTCCATCAAGTGCAGAGTATTTAAAGTGGATTGTTCTGCACTTCGATATTTCTGCGCTTGGCACATGGCAAATAATGTAGACCATAATTGCTTTTGGGCAGTTTTTAGGGCAGGTCTGTGTTATTTTATTTTTTTTCTGTAGTCTTATGCAGGTGCCTCCGCCAAAGTTTGAATGTCTCGGGCATTACTCAGCATTTTATGCGTGTTATGAGCGAAGAAACTATATTTAGCTAGTTGTATTATGTTCAAAGAGTTAAAAACCAATTCGATTGGCATCCATTTTGACAGCTTTTCCGCTGCATGAAGTCTGGCAACGGATACATTGTATCCGAAGTCCGGGCTTAGCTTAACCGGAATCTGTTTCAAGCTGTTTGCCGAAGGACGTTGCCGACTGTCGATCGTATTTTTATTTCACTCTTTTGATATTTTTGCAGCTGCCAAAATGCAATTGGCAAATGCAATAATAGCCACAAGGCGATACGTAATACGCATTTGCGTGGCATGCCCCAAAACAGCAGCAACATGAATTAAGCCGCAGCAGCTACCTCGTTGCGTGGTGCGCGACGCACGACGCGAGACGCGTGGTGCGTGGTGCGTGTGGCTCATTAGGTGGCGGGCTGGTTGGCTTGTTGGTTGGTTGGCTGACTGGCTGGCTGGCTGTCTGTCTGGCTGGTTGGCCACTTGCCCTGCTAACCACCGCAACGGCGGCAAGTGTGGCGCGCTTGTGCATGCAAATTGCCACATAAATAACAAGCTCATTTCTTGGGCCTTTGCATGTTTAAGAATGCCATTTGACTCTTTATATTGCAAATCTAGAAAAAAAACTGGAATGCTGTAGACCCATACACTGTATGCAACATGTTTTCACATACATGTGTGCATGCATAACCAATATAACGCAGACCGTTTTCAATCTGTCTGAAATAAGTATATGTATATTCTGTTTCATGCATTTGAAACTTCATCTGGCAGCTTCTATTACTGAAAAAGTATCATCCTCATTGTTCTTGTCATTAATAATACTTTTATTGTTGCCATTGTCATTGTCCTTATCATTAGTTGTCATTGTCATTGGCATTGGCATTGTCATTGTCATTGTCATTGTCATTGTCATTGTCATTGTCATTGTCATTGTCATTGTCATTTTCATTGCCATTGTCATTGTCATTGTCATTGTCATTGTCATTGTCATTGTCATTGTCATTGTCATTGTCATTGTCATTGTCATTGTCATTGTCATTGTCATTGTCATTGTCATTGTCATTGTCATTGTCATTGTCATTGTCATTGTCATTGTCATTGTCATTGTCATTGTCATTGTCATTGTCATTGTCATTGTCATTGTCATTGTCATTGTCATTGTCATTGTCATTGTCATTGTCATTGTCATTGTCATTGTCATTGTCATTGTCATTGTCATTGTCATTGTCATTGTCATTGTCATTGTCATTGTCATTGTCATTGTCATTGTCATTGTCATTGTCATTGTCATTGTCATTGTCATTGTCATTGTCATTGTCATTGTCATTGTCATTGTCATTGTCATTGTCATTGTCATTGTCATTGTCATTGTCATTGTCATTGTCATTGTCATTGTCATTGTCATTGTCATTGTCATTGTCATTGTCATTGTCATTGTTATTGTTATTGTCATTGTCATTGTTATTGTCATTGTCATTGTCATTGTCAGTGTCATTGTCATTGTCATTGTCATTGTCATTGTCAGCCATTGTTATTGCCACTGCAATCGCCACTCTCATCATTAGCACAACCATGATCAGCATTAATACTAAGATTATCCCTATCGTCAATACATTATCCTTTACAGTATCGTCATTGAGTTAGTTCTGCCTTAGAGATCTGGTTCGCTTAGCAATGAGTCTATCAATTTAGAAAATTTGTTTCAATTGGACCACTCAAATGCTTCGCACGTATTCCGATTGACAGAGGAATTCTTCAGGAATGCCTGTGAGGCAACCATAAAGCTGCGTCTTAGCAGGCGATTATAAGTATATATGTATAAATTGATAGATAGGTCTACATGTATATCAAGCCATCACCTTATTTAACCAGCTAGTTATTTTAGAACACGCTGCGTATTTTTGTGTTGCGTCTCATTAATTAATTTAATGTGAATTATTGCGAAATTCGCTTTAATTTTCTTGTTGCTTGGTTGTTTGTTTGTTTCCCGCCATCACGTAATGCACACAACAGTAAACATAATTAATTACAAATGTATTGACAGGCAGTCAGGCAGCAACAACAGCGAATTTCAACAAAATGTAATATTAGAGAAATAACTGCCAACCGCTAAGGAGCATCGATGTATGGTGGGTCAGCTCGAAGTTGTATTCGCCGTCGAATGTGGCTGTGGATCGTTGAAGAGTGGTGCGACAAGTGCATTGTGGGGCGGGCAGGGTGCTGGCGGATGGGATATTACCAGCCAGACGATGCCCGCCTGCGATAGCATTCAATTTATTTATATATTATTTGTGTGCACTTAGTTTTTATTTATGATTTGTGCTCCGAGGCTTGTAGGCCGTCTTCCTGCTGTCGGCACCTCTGTTGGCCCGTTACACCTGCTACGCACCGTCCCGCAGCTAATAATAATTGCGACAGGCCGTGACGGCGAGATTTATTGGGAAAATGAAACCGAACGAAATTCAATATAAAAACTAGAGACAAATATAAAAACAACTTTTGATCAAAGCGATTGCCCAAAAGTCCGCTGAGACATTGAATTGTGCAGTTCGTAGGCCTTAAACTGTCTCATTTGCATCTGAAAAATGTCAGATCGGATTAAGACTTTTTTTGAAATTTGATACAAAAACAAAGCCGCGCTTGCTGCCAATTAAATACACTTTGTCTACGTCTGCAGACGCAGATTTATAAATAGATTTTGGAAAAATATATATGCCTAAAGGTGCTGATGAAATCTTGTTAGATTATGAGAATGGCTTGAACAATTGTAAGCCTTCAATGAGACTGAACGCTCGAATGTTACACACAGCAAACTGGGCTTATATGTGGCAGACGACTGAGGCTCTGCTGCACTGTGTACAAGTTACATGGATACATTATGGCCATAAGAGATCTGTAAGACATATGAGTGGCTGGATTTATGAGGTTGTGTTAGGAGCACAGTTGTTGTCAGTGCAAAAAGTGCTTTGAGTCAAGCTTACAATTTTTGTTAAAGTTAAAGATCATCATAATCATTATCTTACGATCGATTCATTCTACATAGCACAAAGCTGAGCTAAGTTGAGTAGAAGTTTTGTTTTATATAAAAGTCAAGCTTGCTGCAGTTGTATCGAGAAATCAGATCAAGGTTAGATATGGAAAACTA